TTCCCTTGGCAATTATCAGGGGAGATCACCCTAGCAGACCTTTGTTCTTAAGAGTAACTTTCCTTTGCAATTATCAGGGGAGACCACTGTAACAGACCTTTCATGTTCCTCAGAGTAACTTCCCTTTGCTAAAAACAGGGGAGACCACCCTAGCATACCTTACTATTTCTCAATCTCCCTACAGTGATCTCCCCTTAATTCTCATGTTCCTAAGAGTAACTTCCCTTTGCAATTATCATGGGCGACCACCCTAGCAGACCTTACTATATTCTTAAGAGTAACTACCCTTTCCAATTATCAGGGGAGACCACCCTAGCAGACCTTTTTTGTTCTTAAGAGTAACTTCCCTTTGCAATCAGGGGAGATCACTGTAACAGACCTTTCATGTTCCTAAGAGTAACTTCCCTTTGCAATTATCATGGGCGACCACCCTAGCAGACCTTACTATATTCTTAAGAGTAACTACCCTTTCCAATTATCAGGGGAGACCACCCTAGCAGACCTTTTTTGTATGAGTAACTTCCCTTTGCAATCAGGGGAGACCACTGTATTAGACCTTTCGGCCGTATTTGTTTTGCAAACCCGAGTGTAGAGTTTAGCCATCCTGAGCATGCGTAGTATTGTCGCACTAGCTGTTCAAAACTATCAGCATGAACAGTGTTCTTGGTTACAAAATGGACGCCGCACTTCTTTTTTTGCAGTATTTTGAAGAATCATCTGATAGTCCGGTCATTCTAGCTCAAAATACAGCCAAACCTCAAACAAATTGCAACAGAAAATATTTTGAGTGTTTTGAAACCCCAGACCTATATTGTATAACATATCAAAAGTCTTTCACATTGCTTTCCGCCATTTTCTGACGTAACGTTCTTGCTTACTCCTCATCAAATGGAGAGTAGGTTCTTGACACGCGAGAGTTACGTTCCCGGTGTTAGTTTTGCCCTAGTGTTGCGACTCGACACTCAGGTTTGCAAAACAAATACGACCTTCATGTTCATAAGAGTAACTTCCCTTCGCAATATTCAGGGGAGACCACCCTAGCAGACCTTTTTTTGATCTCGAACGCAGTTATCCCCTGATCAGTACAGACATCTCTGCCATCACAAACATTGAAGGCAGTGATTACAATTCTGTCAAAGGAGGTAATCACTGTGAGGAGTTTGACTTTTTTTGTTCTTGTGAGTAACTTCCTTTTGCAATCAGAGGAGATCACTGTAACAGACCTATCATGTTATTAGGAGTAACTTTCCTTTGCAATAAACAGGAGCGACAATCCTAACAGACTTGTTTTTGTTTCTAAGAGTAACTCCCCTTTGCCATAAGCAGGGGAGGCCACCCTAACATTCCTAAGAGTAACTTCCCTTTGCAATCATCAGGGGAGACCACTCTATCATTCCTTTTTCATAAGAGCAATAATCAGAGGGGATCACTCTAACAGACATTTCTTGGTCCTAAGTGAACTTCCCTTTGCAAATATCAGGAGAGACCACCCTAGCAGACCTTTCATGTTCCTAAGAGTAACTTCCCTTTGCAATAAGCAGGGGAGACCACTAACGGACCTTTCATGTTCCTAAGAGTAGCTTCCCTTTGCAATAATCAGGGGAGATCACTAACGGACCTTTCATGTTCCTAGGAGTAACTTTTTTTTGCAATAAGCAGGGGAGACCATTCTAGCATACCTTATTATTTTCCTAATAGTAACTTCCCAATGCAGGGGAGGTCATTCTAACAGACCTTTTTCATTTTCCTAATCGGTCAGGAAGACTATTTTTGTTTGGGGTCCTCCTGGGCTCCTTGTCACTGGCTCTTGTTGCTGGATCGTGTGGGGGTTGCGTTCATTGAACGCCGCCTTTCCTTGTTGATCTTGTTTATTATATTTGGTGATTTCTATGTCAAGTTTGAATATGGGTTACCTGGGATCAAAAACTAGGTCACACTGGCCAAATATATAAATACTTTTTATACTCTGATGACAATTGAGTCAAAATGTAACCATTAAACTTGGTCAGCATGCTTGTCTAAGAAATGCTGGGATGAGTTTGATGGGTCAGGTGAGCGATCTAGGGCCATCTTGGCCCTCTTTTTGTAGATGATGATGAAGCAGAATGCTTCTTATAAAAAAAGGGATAGTTAAAGTGATGTAATTAGAATTGATATTAATATTTTATATCAATATAATATTTATTATGAAATATATCATGTTAGTGTTATTGAAGATTACAGACTTGTGATGATGATGATGATTGCGGTGATGATGATGATGAAGCAAAATGCTTCTTATCAAAATAGAGACAGTTGAAGTATGCAATTTTCATTTATTTTTGTTGTGATAAATGCTTCAGAGGGATCACCCTTCCTCCAGAAGTTTGCCTTGGTGACAAATAATCGATAAACTCTAAAGAAATATGTTTGTACCACCCGTCTGTCAGTGATTTGAAAAAAAGTACATGAATGGTATGTATAATCAATGAAATTTGATAATATGAAATTGATTAATTAATTGATTTAGACTTTATATATTATACATTGCTCATATAATCATTACAATGATAAAGATAATTACCGGTTTGACTATATGTAAATCCAGTCGGACATATTGCTATCCTCTTCCATAACTATATATCTCTTCTGCATATTATTTTATAGAACAAATAAACATAGAAATACATTAACAAACTGAGGAGTGAAAACTGATGCACATTTGTTGAAACAACAGCAAACATTCGTATATATTTATATCTTTTTCTTTCATCTAAAATTTACTAAATGAATATTCATGTTGATAAATGCGTAATAGGTAATTTTGCATGGACTGGTAGCTGCCATAATTTGATACCATATCTTCTGCAACTCCTCTAGGAATGTTTTTGGAGAGAATTGCAGATGTTTTCATTCCAAATGTTACCGGGCGACACTTTATCACTAAAATCTAGGATGTTCTCCTAAAAAATAATTATTATGCTGCGATGGATTTTTTTTCGCAGTTACCTAAAATAACAAAACTCCAAGGGTTTTGAATTTGATTGTAATTTCTCTAGCGGCCCGTCTGGTAGGAAATAAATTGACTTGGAAAAAAAGAGAGAAAAGGTAATTCTTTTGTTGTTTCTTTTACAAGCATGACATTGTGATATTTAAAAAAATAAAATTTGATGCAGGCACCAGCTTGGCATCTTTTTCAACCGATTATTTTGTTATACTTGGGTAAATCTATCATTCATAAATAAAAACATTGTCTTTTCCTTCTGGTAATTTTCTTCATTATCATGTATAGTTTTTACACCGCCAGCCATACAGATGTTCTCATATGTCTGGGGAAAAACAACAACAACAACAACACAGGCATCAGAGATCATAATAATTAAGGAAAGTGTAGAAGCCCATCATTCTTATAACAAGGCTTTATTAAATAACTATACGTTATTAGTCCTATAAAAAAGCACCTGCCACGTTCAATAACACAATGGCCTGCCATAAAACAGTGCCCAATATCTATATCACTTTTTCGGCCCCGCGTCATATAATCAAAGCCCGCATTTGAAGTAATTTGACTGGCTAATAAAGCAGGGCCAAAAAATGATATAGATTTCTGCAAGAAACTGGGAGATAACAGTGATGTATGCGACTGAATGTCAACAGGTTGCCATTTTGTACCTTAGATATTTTTGATAAAATATAACGGACGTAGGTACAAAAAGTTAAAAATAAAACAGAAGAGAAAAATGACGTTTGATTTTCTACGTAACGATCGATATTTACATTTAAATTTCGACGTTACGTCATGTGACTTTCATCATCATGTGACGTCTGTGAAGGCAGTGATTACAATTCTGCCAAGGGAGGTAATGGCTGTGAGGAGTTTGAGCATTTACATGTCCGTTGCCAATCTGCTACGCAATGGCTCCTCTTATCAGTACAGAGATCTCTGCCATCACAAACATTTAAATATCGATATTTTGATATTTTAAATTATATTTTTTAGATTTTGAATTTATTTTTCATTATTTTGTACACTTTTGATAATTTTTTGATAAAATATAACGAACGTAGATACCAAAATTTAAAAAAAAAAAAAAACAGAAATAAAAATGACGTTAGATTTTCTACGTAACGATCGATATTTACATTTAAATTTTGACGTTACGTCATTTGACTTTCATCATCATCATGTGACGTCTGTGAAGGCAGTGATTACAATTCTGCCAAGGGAGGTAATGGCTGTCAGGAGTTTGAGCATTTACATGTCCGTTGCCAATCTGCTACGCAATGGCTCCTCTTATCAGTACAGAGATCTCTGCCATCACAAACATTTAAATATCGATATTTTGATATTTTAAATTATATTTTTTAGATTTTGAATTTATTTTTCATTATTTTGTACACTTTTGATAATTTTTTGATAAAATATAACGAACGTAGATACCAAAATTTAAAAAAAAAACAGAAATAAAAATGACGTTAGATTTTCTACGTATAACGATCGATATTTACATTTAAATTATGACGTTACGTCATTTGACTTTCATCATCATCATGTGACGTCTGTGAAGGCAGTGATTCAGGGCCAAAATCTTCTTTGTAGATGCCGAATATAGGCTGATTCCCCAACCAAACTGGCCTCTTTTTTTCCCCAGTTTAGTCCTCAAATTCCCCAGTCTTTTGAAATTTCCCATAAAATTTAGAACAAAATTAAATAATGGTGTTGAATTTAGGTCTTTTAGCTTTATTAGTATTTCCAAGTGCTTTTTGCTTTTCTATTTTGAAGAACTTGTTAAAATTTTGTGTTAAATTTGAGACCCCTTTTCCCAAAGTATGCCAAAATCACGCATATTTTCCCTAAGAAAAAGGCTGAGACCCCTTCCCCCAAAAAAGGTGTTTTGGCCCTGCTGATTACAATCTGCCAAGGGAGATAATCACTGTGAGGAGTTTGGACCGTCGCTTCCAGTGCTTTCAGCACTTTGATTAAAGCATCCAAAATACTCTTAATTTTGGAGGTATATAATTTGTCAATTTATGATGTTTTTTTCTGCAAATTAATTGTTTGCTGCGCTTACTTAACTAATTTGACCCAACAATACCTTTGATTAATTTAAACGCATAAATTATGTTGGAAAATAAGTGTAATTGTGTAATTTTTATATTTTTGATATTTTTTCTTTCACTGCCGGTCACCCGGTGTTTTAGGTTTGTCAGTTTTAACAATTGCCTCAGTCACGGAGAAAAGCCGATACTTTGACACTTGGATATTCAATCTGCTGATAAGTTTATGTCTTTTCCCAGTGTCACTGCGAATCAGATTAAATACCAGACATATTCCCAATGGCAAACACGCTTATTTTTCCCAATCTCATCTGTAAAACATTATTCAAAATTGAACTGAAATTCTTGATGGGATCACCTAAAACCCGTGACAATATCTAATTCCGTGACGACATAAATCTGTGACATGTACCTAAAACACGGGACACACTAAATTTACCGTGATATATAATGCAAGGCACTAAATACGGTGACGAACTATATTCGTCTGTCATGAAGGGTAGCTGTACCGAATTACAGTCAACCCGGCCCCAAGTTAACCCGGCCCCAAGTCAACCCGGCCTCAAAATTGGTCAACCCGGCCCCAAAATTGGTCAATCCGGCCCCACAGTATTTTTATTTGGTCAATGCGGCCCCAAAATTGGTCAGTGCGGCCCCAAAATCGGTCATTCCGGCCCCAAAATATATATTTTCAAAGAAAACTATTCAGGTCATTTTGTTGTATGATGGAATAAAAATGATTTATTATTAATTGAATATTATTAACTATAGAACAATAGTAAAAAAAACATGAACTGGCATAAAAGTGTCAGTAAATTTAATTGTGCCGATTAAGACTTTAACAGTTTAATACGCAATAGTGATAATGAATAATTATATAACATCAACAATTATATGTACATCAACATTATTTCAGATGTGATACTCAAACAGTTAAAAAAATAAAAAAAGGTATAGCTGTGAAAACAAATCCTTTAAATAAGTTGGTATTATCTTTCATGTCTTTATTCGATGTAAATTAAAAATGGTTTCGTGAGTGTTAATGCGATAATTGGGAAGAAATGCATAGAATTTCGAGTTAAAAGGTTTGTATAAATTAAGTGTCCAACAATCTTTCTTTCAGTACTGGACTATTACCAAGTCTTCGAAAAATTGATAGTGTTTTGTGTTTAATCACTTTATGTCATTATGACTGATAACTGTATTGATTGTGGATATATTGTGCGTGACAGACAGGAGGCAGTGACCTGCGATACCTGTGATAGATGGCAGCATCTCTATAATTAATCTTACTTAAAAACTGTTCATGGAAACACTTTAGTGTGCTTTTGGTCATTTCTTTTTTTTAACATACATGATACAATAACATAGTAATGATTTGAACACATTAAGGTTTCTTTTCCATGATATATCAATAAAAAAGTTTTTTTTTTTTCTTAAAACATCTATCGTAGAGAGGTTAAGGTTGAAGACAGACGTCACCTATTTTTGCGACGGTAAAAACAGTAAACTATGCATGTGTTGCTTGTTTGTTAATATTGATAGTTTTTAGCTCGACTATTCGATAAGAATAAGTAGAGCTATTGCAGTCACCCGAGCGTCGGCGTCGGCGTAACCACTTATGTTAAAGTTTTTGTAATAGTTCAAATATTTTCAAAGTCCATTGACATATGGCTTTGAAACTTTGCACACTTGTTCACCATCATGACCCCAACCTGTAGACAGGAGAAGGTAACTGTATCAAGCATTTTGACAGAATTATGCCCCTTTTTCGACTTAGAATTTACGTTAAAGTTTTTGTAATAGTTCAAATATTTTCAAAGTCCATTGACATATGGCTTTGAAACTTTGCACACTTGTTCACCATCATGACCCCAACCTGTAGACAGGAGGAGGTAACTCTATCAAGCATTTTGACAGAATTATGCCCCTTTTTCGAGTTAGAGTTTACGTAAAAGTTTTTGTAATAGTTCAAATATTTTCAAAGTCGATTGACATATGGCTTTGAAACTTTGCACACTTGTTCACCATCATGACCCCAACCTGTAGACAGGAGGAGATAACTCTATCAAGCATTTTGACAGAATTATGCCCCTTTTTCGACTTATAATTTACGTTAAAGTTTTTGTAATAGTTCAAATATTTTCAAAGTCCATAGACATATGGCTTTGAAACTTTGCACACTTGTTCACCATCATGACCCCAACCTGTAGACAGGAGAAGGTAACTCTATCAAGCATTTTGACAGAATTATGCCCCTTTCTCGACTTAGAATTTACGTTAAAGTTTTTGTAATAGTTCAAATATTTTCAAAGTCCATAGACATATGGCTTTGAAACTTTGCACACTTGTTCACCATCATGACCCCAACCTGTAAACAGGAGGAGGTAACTGTATCAAGCATTTTTTTTACTATCAAGCACTAAGAATAGTTGAGCGTTGCTGTCCTACCGACAGCTCTTGTTATATAACATAAATAATAAAAGATATCAGCGTTAAACTTTTGTTGTTGTTTTTGTTGTTAATTTTTATTTCATTTCTTGATAAGTGTTTATATTTTAAAGCAAAATAAATAATAAAAAAAAAATGGGGCCGGGTTGACCAGAAATAACATTGGTTTGGGGCCGGGTTGACCAATTTGGGGCCGGGCTGACTTGCGGCCGGGTTGACTTGGGGCCGGGTTGACTTGTACCGGCTGTACCGGGTGCCAGCGGGAAATGGTACAAGCTTACCCTTTTCCAAACATTGTATCAGAATGATATTTGCATTGGTTGCCAAATTCTTTTAACAAAATAGCATGAAGGAAGTTTTAAAATGTATGAAGTAGTGTTCCTAATGCAGCAATTTTAGGACGCAAAATTTCCAAACTGGGCAAGGTACTTTTTCCCAAAATGGCTTGGAAAAGGCCTGAAACTGGTACAATAATCATGATGATAAGGCCCGTCGTGCACAATCTTATGGTAATGTGCAAGGGCAATGCAGTTTTAACATTTGACCATTTTGTGCCAAAACTGACATATTCAGACTGTGGGTGAACAGATGAAAGCTAAAAACTTATTTCCTCATTATCTTCTACCCTTTCCCAGCTTAGAGGGTCTGCTATTCTGGTGGGATAATTGCATGCAGGGCCATAGTTAAAACTGTTGGTGCATAATGCTATTCTAAAAGTTAAGTTGTAATGCACAAATAGTTTATTGACTGAAATATCTGTCTCAGGGCATCAAAATTATGAATAGGACTAGTCTAAGGCATACAGGACCTGGGCACTTGAACCAAAGATTATCCCATCATATAGGAATAGGACTCAACCAATAAACCTTTTTTTTTTTACTCCTGTTTGATAAATATACATAATGATGTGCATACAGGATGATGAAATGTCCAGTCTTGAGCAAATCTTCTACATATACGCATAATAAGTCTTAATTTAACATGGTCAGTGAATATTCTTCACATTTTTAAGAATATTCTATGTTCTTTGGCGCTTGTGAAAAAAGTGAAATTCGAGGTCAATTTCGAAAAAAAAAAATCACTGATGATATACATGTGAGGCGGAGTGTCATGCGCAAATATCAGCTCACTATGGTCAAGGTCAACATGCAGATAAAAGAAAACAACAATAAATTTGTGTACACTCTTTTGAGTCAAAATAAGTTTCAAGAGGGATTCTAATTCAAATGTTCACCATCACTGAGTATTTATCATATATGCATAGTTTTGCAACAATGGCATTTTTTCAGAGTGTTTAATTTGTTACAGTATTACCATATTAAGCAGTAGGTCTAGGTAGTACATTACACACTACATCACTGGAATACATGAGGAGACCTAATTAAAAAATATTTAATGTAATCCATTGTTGTTGTTTTATCACTTCAGAAACAAAATGGGTAAGAAAAAGCAACAGAAAGAGGTAAAAGCTGCTAAGCAGACAGAAGATAAAGGTTTGCAAAGATGTCGGGATTTTAATTTTTACATCATACAGTTTTTTGTTCTACATGAAATTATTTCATCTGAAATCATATATAATAAAAATGCAATATACAAATGTACCTGTACATTTTATTCAAGATTGTCATAAGACAGGCATGTAATATAGTTTGTCTCTGGCTTTCAGCTTCATGTATATCAATTGATACTGAATAAGTAACTCTTACCCAAAGTTAAACCTGAACCAAAATTTAAAAAAAAAACAACGACAACTAAACAGTTATTTTTGGTCCACCATTTTTTTCTTTCAGGCAAAAAGACCTATTCTCTACAGTCTGTAAAAACAGAAAATGGAGCATCAATTTCTTCAGAACTACCTAAGGTAATGATCAATATTGTGATGATTGTGATATAAGTTTGTTGAATTTTACCTTGATCAGCAACTAGTAACTGTTATGAAATTAGTTTAATTTTAGTATTGTGAAAGTTGAATAATTTTTTTCTAGCAGAATTTTAAAGAGTTAACGAGATATGCACTGATTTACTTTGTGAAGATGGTTGATTAGTGAATATGGATAATTACTGAAAATGGTTAATTAGTTAAGATGGTTAATTTGTGAAGATGGTCAATCATTTAAGATGAATTGTTATTGAAAATGGTTGATAAAGATGAATTATTAGTGAAAATGCTTAATTAATGAAGAAGGTTAATTTGTGAAGATGATAAGTGAAAATGGTTTATGAAGATGGTTAATTAGTGAAAGTGATTAGTGAAGATGGTAAATGAAGGTGATTAAATAGTGAAAATGGGTAATGAAGATGGTAGATTAGCGAAGATGGTTAATTAGTGAAGATTTAAGTTAGTGAAGATGGTAAATTAGTAAAGTTGGTTAGTAAGTGACGTGGACCCGTTGCACTTTCTGTTATATAGATTACTATACCAACTACATTAGAGAAGGATTTATTGGAGTTGATACAGTCATCAAATCAAGAACGAAAACTGGATAAAGAAGTTTCCAAGAGATTGACACAGAAAAAATTAATGGTAGGTTAGATTACTGTAAATTTGCATTCTACAACATTATAGGTACTTTCTCCACAGCCAATTGATGTAGTTTGCTGACTTGAAATAATTGACCTTTCTGCCGGGTTTGATTGACAGGTCTAATTAGCCAATCAAATAATGCTTGAAATCACCGTGTTGGTTTGATTTGAAATCAGACCAAAATTTACAAATACAGCTACAGACCACCATTTTACAAACCAGGAAGAATAATGATGGGTTAAATACATGTATGCAATAGTAATAAAACATATTTTATGCTTGTACATACTTTCTAGGATATCTACACTAGTTTAAGTGGTGCAGGGTTTACACATAAACAGATTGAGCAAGCAATGGAGAACACAATACTACATGGCGGAGATCTTATAGATGCTCTAGATTGGCTGTGTCTTAACCTACAAAATGGTTAGTATTGTAGAGTACTTAGTATTGACTACAATATATTAATCTAAAAGGAAATATGATTCTTTATACTTAATGCATCTGTCACTTGGTGAGTACACAGAATAATAGAAAAATTAGTAAAGAAAAAATTAGAAATATCTTTCACCTATATGCCACTGCCCCCCCCCCCCCCCCCCTCTGCAATGTGCTGTTTTTGTTTTGATGATGTGTTGTTCATGGCTTACAATGCAGTTAACCCAGAAGTAAAAGTAATATTATATACATAGTATGCATTTAATATAATGCAAAGAAGAGATGCTTTGTCAATTTTGATTCTTGCTTTAGTTATCATTTGAAAATTACCGATAGCAATTATAACTGCAAACCAAGAAATAATTGTACTTAGTGTTGTTTCTCTATAGATAAGCTTCCAGCCAACTTTTCCCAAACCCTGCAAATTGAAGAAGAAAAGAAACGACCTAAGTTTGATGTGGATCTGCAGGTCAACCTCCCAGTGGCACAGGCAGCATTACAACCAGTAAAACCAAAGGAGCCTAAACCGGAGAAGGTATAACTGCCTTTTTATTGAATGATTTGCTTTCTTATAAATTTGAAGCTTGTTAAGAATGAAAACAAATGTATCTAATTGTTCCTTTCGTAAGGCTGAATCTGTATTAATGTTTGAGCCCCCTTAATGTGTGTTATATACCTTAAAGGACACTGCGTCCATCAGTTTCAATGTAGTTGACAGTAGTTCTAGCCTATTTGAATACTCTTCAATGTGGAGCCAATGCATTATGCGGGTCATACTTTAACTTGATATTACAAACATATTGAAACTATCTCACTGGCTTGCAATCTTAGTATCTAAGTTGGTGCTTCATCAGAACCCACGGTACACATTCTGTATATACTACATTTTTTTTAACTATTATAGGAAAATGCCATTGCTAGGTCTGTCAGTAATTTCACTTGCTCTCTAAGGGTAAATATGTATTTTTTCATTCTTGAATAGCCAAAGAAAGAGAAAGTATCTCAGAAAGACTGGATACTAAAGTATGCTGATGATGCATCAGAAGATGAGGACGAAGAAGGTGATTTAAGTGGAGAAGAAGCAGAAAAAGATCCTGTAAGTGTAATTGTTGGATAGGTGAGAGGGGAGTGTTGTGATGTTGTGCTAAATACTTGAGCAGTGGCCTAGTGGTTAAGGTGTCTGCCTCTCAATCCAGGGATCATGGGTTCGAGCCGGTCATGACCATTTTTCTTCATATGACACCAGTACTGGTTGGTTCAAGGAAGCAAACTCCAAAGTGATTAATATCTAATATTATAATTAAATATTATATAATATCTAATATTATAATTAGATTAATATTTTTTTCTCAATAGAGCTTAAATTAATATGTTTAAACCAGATACTTACCTTGAACTGGCGTGAGTGAAATAGGGAAAGTTGGGGGGGTATGGTCTTATTACACACAGTCTCTTCACTTTGGTAAGTTAGTAAAAGTACAATACGGAATTTATTTTCATTGAAACAGTTATAGTGTAACGCTAACATTGAGCATGTCTTTACACTATTTTTATATAACACAAATGACATCAGGCCAATTATTTGCACGGCCATGCAATACCATTTTTACAGAGTTGCAAAAGCGGCATATTTTATTATTGCTCAATATTGTCTTAGGGGGAAAATAAGGTTTATCTAATATAGAAAATAATTTTAAAGTCCAATTTTGCTTTGGAAATTGTTTTTAGGAAAACTAATATTAAATACAGTAAAAACTGTTTACAGTGACCTTCAATGGGAGAAAAGAAAAAAGGTCATTATAGACAGGGAGTCGCTGTGAACAGTCTCTTCAGAATTCGGATATATGAACATATTTTGCCAACATTTTGTTGAAAAGTAGGATAGTACCATACATAGGGTTTATTTATATTTTTTTATCTGTATTAAACATATATTAAACATACCACATATCATTTATAAAAACACGAATAAATAAATGCAAACACATTAGTGTTCAAATGCACAATTCAAGAACATGTGTTTATTTTTAGTGATAAGTAGGTAAAGAACATTTGGTCTTGCCATTTCGCTATGTAAATACATTCAATAAAACACTAAAGCAGTAAAGTTTTGAAATTTCTAAATGAATACCCTGTTACCTGTACAATGTTGATGTTGTTCTGTTGACAAAGGTACATTGTTTTCAACATCACTCATGATCTCAGCTTTTCTTAGACGTAGGTTTTGAATCTGCATTTTGCCAACGCCAAGCTGTTCAGTAGTTTTATTTACCTGCATGCCAAGTAATTTTATGGCATTACATTTCTCTTCTAACGAAAAAATTTTTCTTTTCGTCTCCATTTTAACCCACAATGCTTTTTGCGCAGGACGAAATACTCCCAACAATATGAGCGAAAGGTTCATTCAGGTTACTCCCCTTGCAAAAGTCTCTTTGCACAGTTTATATACCGTACCGGGAGACACTTAATCATGGTTATTGTTCGGAAAAGAGAGGGAGCCGCTACATACAGACCATTTATATAGTAAATACTGTTTGGTGTATTTAACTATGGTCATCAAAGACAGACAGTCTCTATATACAGGGGGTCACTAAGACAGTCTGAGTCCTTATTGTATATAATTGGTACCTGGTCTGAAGTGTGCCTATATTCAAAAGATAATAAAAAAAACCATTGTCATTTTATTGTTTAGAATGAGAGATATGTAGAGTTGACTGGTTTGCTGCTTGATGCAAAAGAAGAAGCCTCAGAAGTAAAGAAAGCTGGGAACAAGTCCAAAGTAAAGGAATTGTCCAAACAAATAAGGGAGATAATTGTAGGCAAGTTTATATCCTAAGTTTGTGATCAGTTGTTGGGTATACTGAGAAATAGAAGTAGGTGAAGACTTAGAAAACGTCACAAACAAACATTTACATATTCCAAAGTGCTTTGGGTATATTAAGATATCTTTCAATGGCTGATTTTACTTTTCTTTATATTTTCTATAGGATATCTTATAGTTGCTAGTAATTCAGTAGATTTTCCTGCCCAAAGTATGTTATGAAAGGAAAAGAAAAAATAGTTTCTATAACTTTTTAATTTCTTTCCATATAACATAAGAAATATAAAATGATTGTGAAACTTTATTAAGAATGATGTTAATTCTCCAGAATATGTTGAAATAGAAACTAAACAATTGTTTATCTTAAAATATGTATTATCTCAAATCAAATTTTGTCATAATTATTATGTCATACATGTTTTGTGTATATTAGATAAAAAAGAAACAAATTGTTCTGAAGATATCTTCTTTATAATATTTCTTTCAGAAATGGATTCTTTAGAAACACACCCAGATTTCGATCCTGTACTGAAATTGAGGGATACTGAAGAAAGTAAAGGTGATAGTGCAGCTGTAGGCCAATCAGATGCTGCTGAGAAGTCACATGATAAGCCAGATATCCAATCAGAAGGTGCCAAACAAGACAAAGAAGGTGACCAATCAGAAGAAGGAGAAGATATGGGATTGTCATTATTTGATAATGCTGCAAAGGAACCAGCACCTAAAGGTAAACATTTTGTTTTGGTTTTGGTATGTTTTCTTACCATAAAAGATTAAATAGAAGGGACCTTTATGACTCAGTGGTAAAAGTATTTGAGTTGAAATAATTTGCCCCTCACACATGAAATTGTGTTCAAACCCGCTCTGGACTTTAAACTCATAATAGCATGTAGTTTTGTTAACATGATACAGAATGGTATTTTCAAGAGTTTAAAAGGTGAAGGTTATACGTGAAAGTCAAAAAAGTACATTGATGGTTGTGTCTGGTCATATCTTTGTTATTCATTCATGGATGCTTTTTGATACAATTGGGCTCACTGTAAATATAAGAAGGTAGTTTTTTATGTTTCTTTATTCTTGTAACACTCTTTTTTATTGTAACCATACCTTTGATGCAAATCAAAGGTTATGGTTCCCCTACTGGAGCCTGCTTTGGGGACATTTGTCTGTTTTCAAAAATTTCCCAGAAATTTTTATGCCTGTTTATAGAGACCATTGTCAAAATGGCTTTTGAGATACGTAACTTCGAGTACACACGTCAACAGTGGACAGGGAAATCGCCAAAACAATTCTTGAATGACTGGTGCCGTAAACATCTTCAGAAAAGTCCTCCGCCAAAGTTTGTGAAGATAAATCCACGAGGGAATGCTTTTAAATGCAGGTTAGTCAAAATATACATGTATCAAGTGAATCACTGTCAGTTATTGATATTTATCAAGGTGAAGTCCATGCCATATGATCTACTGTCCTCTCACTGTAGTGGTTTTGAACCATACCAGGTATGTTTTTGAACTCTCAAATAGAGAAAATACATTAGAAAATTCGTGGTAGGCGATGGGTTCTGTCTAAATCGATGTATGGAAGGGCAGCTAAGGTTTGGTTTTCCTGCATTCATTAAGATTGTTACAATGGTTACAATATTACCATAAAACGATAAGTCTAATTTGAACAAAAATGAAGAATGTACTGTATCTACCTCAGTATAGGTCACTCCAATTAATTTTTTGTATAATTTTACTGTAATTTTATTCAAGAACAAATTATGGGAAAATAAGAAATGAAAAATGTCAATTGGTTTTTATATACATTGACAAAAACTGACATCCTGAAAGCTAACAGAATATTTTGATCACTGTGATGTTGTTGTTATCATCATTGTAGCCCATTTTTCAAACATTTGAAAAGTTATCAGCATGAAATTTGTAATACTTGCTGATCTTGACAAGGTGTGGTTGTGAAACAAGGGTCATAATTCTGAAAATAATATTTTTTAGTTATGCCTCTTTTGAATTAAATATTTTCAATGGATTAGCGTTAACATTGCATGATCATTATTGTGATTTGTCATATAATACAACCCTTGATTGGAAGTACAAATTCTATTACATACAGGGTGGTAGTTGACAGACAGAAAGATGGTGTACTTGATTTATGTCCTGATATTTTATGTGGTAATGTAAAGGAGGCGGAGCATTTAGCTGCTACACTAGCTCTCTATCATTTATGTAAAGGTAAATAATTTATTTTGATTCCTTTTTAGCTCGACTTTTCTATGAAAAGGGGAGCTATCCTACTCGCCCCGGCGTCGGCGTCGGCGTTGGCGTCACACCTTGGTTAAGTTTTTCGTACCACCCCACTTTATTTCAGAAGTATTACAAGTATGGCTTTGAAACTTACCATACTTGTTCACCATCATAACCTCCATCTACAGACAAGAGTACATAACTCTGTCAAGGTTTTTGACAGAATTATGGCCCTTTTTTGACTTTGAAAGTGTATTGAGCTTGGTTAAGTTTTTTGTACCACCTCACTTTATTTCAAAACCATTGGAGGTATTGCTTTGAAACTGACCATACTTGTTTACCATCACGACCTTCATCAACAGACAAGAGGACATAACTCTGTCAAGGTTTTTGACAGAATTATGCCCCTTTTTGACTTAGAAAATACATTGAATATGGGTAAAATCCACTTATTGCCTTAACCCTTTGAGATATTGCTTTGAAACTTTTAATGCTATTTCACATCATTACCCCCATCTGTACGCAAGAGAAGGTAACTCTGTCAAGGATTTGTTTTAAAAATTAAGGCCTTTTATCGACTTAGAATCTTGGTTTAATACTATTAAATTTATTTAAGGCTCAACTCAGTTTTTTTTTCTTTCTTACCAGCCCTCTTTTGACTTAAACATTTCAAACTTTGCTGCAGTGTTCAAGGGTATCACACAATTCAGTAAAATAATTCTTCACTAAATATCTTAATGCTCATGGCCATTGTTCACTTTAAAAATACAGAGATTCTTGTATTGCCTTTTACTGCAAAAACTTTTTTTATTGGCAAGCAATAAAAAAGTCGAGCGCGCTGTCTTACGGACAGCTCTTGTATTACTCTTTATATATGTGTATGGTTTACTTTAGATGGAAAAAATGATCCGAAGAAAAAATGTAAGTTTGAATAAAGGAATGGACAAAACAGACAAGAATTACATTATTTAGACTAAGTGATGTTGTTTTTTTTTTGTTCTTTTTGCGGCCTAATATTTAGCGTTGTAGATTGAATTCTGCTTATTAAGAACTTTTAAAAAATTTCATATATACTGGATTTACCAAATTGAGTCTTTAATTTTCACTTTTCATTTCATTTTTAATCCACCTGAGGGATCTGCTCATTTCAAAGTTTTAGAACAGTATTGATAAGGTTGTCTTAAATAATCAAAGGTACCTGACTAACTGTTAAAGTATTATCATTGAACAATGATATAGCTGCATTAGGCACTTCACCTAATAGCAAAAACACAACACAAAAGCTTTAAGGAGTATTTGAGAAAAGGTTTTGAACAACTAAAAGAATTCATACAGAAAATACAGGCATTAGAAAGCATAGCATAGTGAAAAGGGACCCATTGAATATTTTTCTACAAAGTCAAATAGGTATGTTGCAAGTTTTGTAAAACAGAGCCTATTTATGATGGCAGTGTTTTATCAGTATGTGAGGTTTTGTTTACTTTTGTAGGACAATCTGTGTACCAGTTACTACCTCCCCCATACAGGGATGTCTGGCTAGAATGGTCAGATGCCGAGAAAAGGGCAGCTGAAGATGAAAAATCTAAAGAAAATAAGGTTTGCTAATTTTATTACATACATGTTTGACTTTTGTGACACCTTGAAAATTATATTACATGGCTGTGCATATATTTTAATGTGACTTCATTTGCGTTATACAAACATAGCTTAAAAACACACTATTAGAGCACATCAATGAAAAAGTGATTTTTTTTATAATAAACAAATTTTTTTTTATTTTGGGTATGTGATAAATAGAATGATAAATTTTTTCAGCTTCATTTCGGAATTTATTGAGCTTGTATAAAATGATAATAAACTCACCAAAGGCTTTCATAATATGAGCTGCGTCACGACAAAACCAACATAATGGGTTTGCGACCAGCATGGATCCAGACCAGCCTGCGCATCTGCGCAGTCTGATCAGGATCCATGCTGTTCCCTTACCAACCCTATAACAAGTAAAAAAACTGATAGCGAACAGCATGGATCCTGATCAGACTGCGCGAATGCCCAGGCTGGTCTGGATCCATGCTAATCGCAAACCCTTTATGCTGGTTTTGTTGTGACGCGGCTCATATGATTTTATTCAACTCATTCAATAAATTCAATACTGAAACTACATTCATTAAATATCCTTTATATTAGCGATGGCAACGAGTAACCGGTTAACCGAGTACTCGATCAAACGTCCGAATATCGGTTAACAAAGTTGATATTCGATTACTCGGAAAAATATGTATTTTCTATTTTTTATGCGATTTAGAAAGATTGGTATATCCAATTAGTTCAGAAATTCGGAAATGTGCATGTATCTTCATAAATACCTGTTAAATGCAATCAAAACATCCTTGCAGCGGTGCGAAAATGATACCATGAATTTAATGAGGCGATCAACAGTTTGACATGCGCACCTGTGTCGCTTATGTCATCCAGCCTCTTATGATATTTAATTACCTTTAATTGTATTGCTGAAGTAACTGTTTTGAAAACAACAAAGGGCCGATTGTTATCATTAATGTAAGAATAAAGGTAACTAGTATTTAGACCAGGTTAAACTTTTGTTCCCGCCGATCAGTCTATATTATTTCAAGAAGAAAAATATATATGAACTGTTATACATGTTTAAAACTTGATATTGCATTAATTAAAACGTTGTAAAATGTTATGTTGTTGATTTAATTATAATTAATTTGTCTCCCGTGCAGTCCTATTTACTATCTACAGAATTCTATGAATTTAAATAAAAAACGAAAGTAGCATGCGGACGGTGTTGATATTGTGTAATAAAATTTGAAGATCACTGGCAATCATCCGAGTAACCAAGTACTCGATGGGAAAAATGACCGAGTACTCGAGTATTGATTTTGATATTCGTTGCCATCCCTACTTTATATATTACATAATAAAAATGATACAAGATAAGAATCAGTGATTTATCAGCTTGGGACCTAAGGCTATGCAGAAAAAAACAAACAACTGACCTTGAACCACTTTTAATGCCCATTAGTAAGGGACCAAAATTATCTATCAAATACAAATATATGTGACTTCCTTACATAAATTGTATTTTTGTATCCACATTTTATATTAAAAAAAAACCCCAATGCATCATTTCAGCCAAGAGACCAGTATCTGGCAAAGTTGATGTCTAAGATTCAGATATCTGGATCTAAAGGTCAAAGTTCAGATACAACTAGAGTGAGCGATGAAGGTGTCTTAGACTCCTGGGAGGATATTGAAGAGCACGAGGGTCTGGTATGTTCTTGTAATGAAGTTTTTGTGGACAAATAAAACCTAGTTTGTGTGTACTTGTGAACTATGACTTGTATACCATCATCTTTTAGAAGGAAAAAATGCGGAATCTTCTGTTAAAAAATTCAAAGATCTAGAGTTTAGATATTAAGCATGAATTATCTTCTAGTGAGTGTCTACCAAGTTTGTTCAAATAAAAGCCCTGGGGACAAAATTGGCCCGCCCAGAGGGGGGTCATTGTTTTTCCCTATATGTGTATAGTAAAAACTTAAAAGATCTTCTTAGAGCTAGAGCTTAGATATTTATCATGAAACATCTTCAAATGGGTGTCTACCAAGTTTGTTCAAATAAAAGCCTTTGGGTTAAAATTGGCCCAACCCGGGGGCCTATATACAGGTGAGCGATTTCAGGGCCATCATGACCCTCTTGTTTCTCAGTAATTTTGCTATAAAATTTGATTGTATTCTCATAAAGTTGTATAGCACTTCACATTCAGCTTGTGTAAAACATGTTTATGATTGGGGTTTCCACATAACTAGTGCTATATTGTCATTAAATACCAAATAGATCTACAGTAAAGGCAGGGAAAAGGCAGCAGCAACACAGTTTCAAATTTAACCTGATTGAATAACAATTGAACATTTGTAAAATCAGGGTCAGTCTCAGAGAGAAGCTCTGGTAACGAATTTCGATTTTTTTTTTCAGTTGATATGTAACATGATTACAAAATAAATAGAGACAAATTAAAAGAGATATAGAGAATATTTAGTTAATGTCAGGATGGAGAAGGTTTATCTGGAGAGCTTTAGCAAGGCAAAATTCACTTTCGCAGTGAACCCAAGAAAACCTTCTCCCATCTCGACATCAATCATATAATCAATATATATCCTGCTGGTTTTATATTGTTTTTAGCTCACCTGAGCATATGCTCAGGGTGAGCTATTAGGATCACTCTTCGTCCGTTGTACGTCGTCCGTTGTCCGTTCACACTTTTAAAACGACATCTCCTCTGAAACCATAAGGCAGATCATAATGAAACTTCACAGGGATGTTCCTTGTGTGAAGCCTTAACAAAGTTGTTCAAAGAATTCCATTCCATGCAAAACTCTGGTTGCCATGGCAACCAAAAGAAAAAACTTTTAAATATCTTCTTCTAAAAAACCCAAAGAGCTAGAGCTTAGATATTTGGCATGAAACATTTTCTAGTGAGTGTCTACCAAGTTTGTGCAAATAAAAGCCGTGGGGTCAAAATTGGCCCCGCCCCAGGGGGTCATTGATTTTCCCTATATGCATATAATAAAAACTTAAAAAATCTTCTTTTAAAGAATCCAAAGAGCTAGAGCTAAGATTTTTAGCATGAAACATGTTCTAATGGGTGTCTACCAAGTTTGTTCAAATAAAAGCCCTGGGGTCAAAATTGGCCCCGCCCCGGGGGTCATTGATTTTCCCTATATGCATATAGTAAAAACTTAAAAAAATTTCTTTTAAAGAATGCAAAGAGCTAGAGCTAAGATATTTAGCATGAAACATGTTCTAATGGATGTCTACCAAGTTCGTTCAAATAAGAGCCCTGGGGTCAAAATTGGCCCCGCCCCGGGGTCATTCATTTTCCTTATATGTTTATAACAAAAACTTAAAAGATCTTTTTTGAAAAAAAAACAAATAGCTAGAGTTTAGATACTAAGCATGAAAGCCTCCTGGTGAGTGTCTTCCAAGTTTGTTCAAATAAAAGCCCTGGGGTCAAAATTGGCCCCGCCCCGGGGGTCATTCATTTTCCTTATATGTGTATGACAAAAACTTACAAAATCTTCTTTGAAAAAACTCAAATAGCTAGAGTTTAGATATTAAGCACGAAGCATCTTCTAGTGAGTGTCTACAAAGATTGTTCAAATAAAACCCCTGGGGTCAAAACTGGCCCTGCCCCAGGTGTGTCATTGTTTTTAACTATATGTGTAAAGAAAAAAACTTGAAAAAAGCTTCTTTTAAAAAACCCAACAAGCTAGACCTTAGATGTTTAGCATGAAACATCCTCTAATGGGTGTCAACCAAGTTTGTTCAAATAAAAGCCCTGGGGTTTAAACTGGGACCGCTCCGGGGGTCTATATACAGGTGAGCGACTTTAGGGCCATCATGGCCCTCTTGTTTGGATATCTTAATGATTTCAGTCTGATAGAACAGCTTCTTCTTTGTCGCTGACTATGTGACATAATGACTGGAGTGAGATAAGTTTATCCGGCAAAACTTTATCCTGCTGATAATATAGACAGTAGCAGGATTGTGCTTTGAAACATTTAGTTGTGTTTTATCATTGGGCAAACATGTATGATGAAATTAAATATAAGTGATAGTATTCATAAATTGTTTGATGATAGGCAAGGAACATTATGTTTATAATAATTATGTCTGTACATGAGTTACTTACTATTCACTAGCACAAATACAACCTGGCAGAAAGAAAATCCTTTTTGTTATACAGATACTCTCATGCAACTTGATTAAGAGTTGGAGCATAACGCTGTTTTTTTATACAAAGTATAAGGGGCCCGGGGGAAAAATAAACATTTCATTAGATAAATTTAAGTTTGGCAATCCCAAGATGAAGACACTGATTGCCAAAAAACCGTTTAACATGATCAATGAATAAACCTTAAAAATGTACCCTCTGTTAAAAGTTTGAAAAAGATTTTGGTCCGAAATGAACATTTTTCAATGCTAAATAAGAAAGTAAAAAAGATTTTCTTCAACTTTGTATGATTCTCTCATCGAAAATTTTAGGCAACTTCAAGTACACCACAAAACTAGCAAACCTTCCCAAGTAAGAAGTTCACAATCAACACATCGCCTGAAGGAGATATACACAGCCCAATCAAAAACTCATCAATGTATAAAGATTTACTGAAAACACGTGAACAGCTCCCAGTATAGGCCAACATAAACATTCCATCCAGGAAGTTCTACAGAAACATACATGTTGTATTGGTTGCCGGGGAGACAGGAATAGTGGCAAAGAAGTAAAACAGATTCCACATTTTATCCTTGAGGTAAAAATATGTACAGGTATCTAAAAGTCACCTAATGGTTAGACTGTAACCTGGAACATGCAATATCTTCATTTAACAAAACCGCCTCCATGGTCGAGGGGTTAGAGTCGATGACTTCTAATCCAGTTACCTCTCTGGCGTGGGTTCGATCCCCGGGAGATGCTTTGGTAGTTTAGCGCAGAGGAAGGTAGTCTAGTACTGGTGTAACTCTCAAGGAACGATGGTTAGGAAACTACCCGCCTATATGACTGAAATACTGTTGGGAAAAGGGGTAAAAGAAACAAACAAATAAACAACATCTTCATTTTAAGAAAAGTTTTCATTATAGGAGAAAGTAGCCGTTTCTGTAAGAAAATGTTTCCAATAGGCTTTCTGTGCAGTGCAGAATGATAACTCTACCTTGAAATTATTTTGGTTTTTGCCCTTTGTTTTTTTTCAAATTAAATTTTTTGCCCAAAATAACTCAAAACCCTTTGAGATTCAAAATAAAATTCTAGGTGCATAATCCACCGGGAGGGGACTGCAAAGAATGAAAACCTCCCTTTATAATTTTTGAGTTATTCCCCTTTTTTCTTTTCATACTTAATTTTTAAAATTAAATTTTTTTTCCAAAAAGTTTTGGGGTTGAACTTGAAATTCTTAGGTGGATAGATTTTCTGAGGAGGATCAGACACAAAAAGATAACCCCCCTGCATTATTTTTCAGAAATTCCCCTTTTTTTTTTTCAGCCATCAGTATTAAAGGTTTAAATCTGTAATCCTATAGTCATCATTTTCTTTTACCAAAAAAACCTCTTAAAATGGAATTAATTCTGTCTACTACAATAAATCTTTTTTAAAATAGCCAAAACCTTAGGGGGGGAGGGCCATGTTAAGGGTCTTTTTTTTTTTTGAAAGGATATATCAGCTAGCTAATAAAGTTTATGAAACATTTGGTTCCCTGTTCATCCCTAAAAAAGCTAGCAAATAAAGGTTTATGATAACATTTGGGTTCCCTGTTCATGTGAAAGAAGTTTAGCTAATAGAAGGTTTATGTAACACTTTGTTTTGTCTGTTCATGCCTAAAAAGAAGCTAGCTAATGAGGTTTATGGTAACATTGGGTTGTCCTGGTCATGCCTGAAAAAAGCTGCTAATAGAAGGTTTATGATAACATTGGTTGTGTTCATGTAAAAAGAAGTAGCTAATAGAAGGTTTATGGGTAAAAATTTTGTCTTGTCATGCCGAAAAAGCTAGCTAATAAAAGGTTTATTGATAACATTTTTTTGTGTTCATCCCTAAAAGAAGCTATAATAAAGTTTATGGTAACATTTGGGTTGTTGGTCTCCTAAAAGAAGAAAAAAAAGCCTCAGGTTTCTATCCATTTTCCATATTGAAATTCCCCACCATTCGGGGGAAAAATTTAGGGAATCAGCTTAGATTTTAAAAAGAAGTTAAAGCTAAAAATCTTTTTTCTTATATTTTTTTATAGTTTTTTTTTTTTTAATTTTGGGACATTTAAAACATAAATGCTGAAATCCATGGAATATAAAAAATTAAGCAAGATTTTTTAGGGTTTTCATAAAAGGATTTTAAATATTAAATTAGTTTTTTGGGGAAAGTATTTTATTCCAATGTTTTATTGATTATTTTTTAGTTTAATATAGTTATAAAAATTTCTTACATTTTGTATATTAACAAATATTTCAGGATTGCCTGACTATGGAGTAAAAATGTAAATTGTGTTACACAACCTAGACGTAATCGCAATTAGTCTGGCCACCAAAGTGAGCGGAAAGGGAAAAACCAAAAATAGGTGGGGAGCAACTTTGTAGGAAATTCAATTGAAATTTTGTTTGGCCAAACCATTATATATGCCATAGTTTTTACAGTACATTTTACAATGTATGGCGTAAAAATTAACAAACTTAAAAAAAAAATGTTTTATGTACTTTTTGAGCCGTGTATAAAAAAACCAAATAAGGGGTTGCGCCCCAAGGGTCCGACCCCCTGTGCACCCACGTATTGATAGGACCCATGCTGTTGTTCCCAAAAACCCAATTACAAATGAAAAACCTGTGTGAACAGCAGGACCCTGATCATCGGGACCCATGTGGTCGCAAACCACTTTTTTGGTTTGTCATACAAGTCTTTTTTTTTTTTGGGGGAAATAACCTTATTATTATTTTTTCTGTTTGAATTATTCAAAATTACTGAAAGTAACTGCTTCTCTCATTCTGGGGGGGAACCCCTCTTTTTATGGGAAGGTCCCCTCATGTTTACACTGAAAGGTTTTAGATACATTGAATTTTGATCATTCAAATTATAGTCGCACAGACTTATTTCGCAACCAAAGAAAGCAAAAATATGCCCATTATAAAGACACTTTTAAAGTTTTAAAAAATTTACAGCAAAAAAAATAAGTTCAAAAAACCCTGAAGGAAAAAAGGGTCAATTGTTGTATATGCAAAAAATCCCTAAAAATTAATTTTTCGTTTAATAAATGAATATATAAATAAATGTAGTAAAATTAATTTATTTTTTACTATCAATATTTGGGAAAACATTTTGTTTACTGTTTTACACATCTTATTTGACTATATGATATTTGACCCATTTTCTACACGCAATTGAAAAAATCAGCAATCAATTATACTTTTCGACACTGCTTTTTACAATGTGTGGGATCATATTAAAAAATTTTAACCTTAAGCTTTGCAAATTTAAACCTTGAAAATAATTTATTCATTTTAATGTGTTCGGGGAAAATCCATATCTTGTTTTTCTCGGGAAAAGACAAAAACTATTAATTTTTAAAACCGCAAAGAAAATTTTCAAGAATGTTTCCCTTTTGTGTGATGAATATTTAATGATTTCTTTACAATTTGTTAAAAAACGCACTCGTTTCCCTTTGGGGATGATTTTGTTCATGTCATGAATTTATCAAAAGCTATGTCAAGATGTTTCAAAGTCTGCGAGTATTTTTATTGGAAAATTTGATGCACTGTTCCACATAAAATGTTTTATTATTTCAACTATCTTCGCAGTGCATAAAATAATTGAAATTCTTCCAGAAATCTTTTTTATTTTTTGTCCCTTATAGTTTTTTGGGAAAACTTAAAATATTATCGCCTTTTTTTTCTGTCATGAATATTTTCTTCCAAATTAGTTTTTGTGTATGTTTTCAGCAATGTTCTTTTTTTTTTAAAAACAAATGCATCCACCAGTAAAAACGAAAGTTGGCATAGACAAAATAAAAAAACAAAAAAAACAAAAACCCCAATACTGATATTCCTTTTGTACCATGAATTATTTTTCTTTAATCCAAAAAGGGTGTATTGTTTAAGATATATTTTTGGTCAAAAATTAAACTGTGCCCTTAAATTAATTTAATGAAGTTTAAAATGTAAATTTTTAAAATACACCTGGCTTTAAAACTCCCCAAAATGGTGCTTTTTTTCCCATTTTACTTCTTAAATCAACCAGTTTTTTTTTTAAAATTTAATTTAAAATTTTAAACCCGGAAAAAAAATCAAATTTTTTATACCAATATAAAAGCTATTTCTTACTACTATATTTTTTCACACATATTACCAGAAAAAATGCTACATTTTTTTTCACAGCTTTGATTTAAAAGGGAAAAAGAATAATTAGGGTTACATCATTTTCCCCAAATTTGGGGTTTTATGACAAGTTAAAATTTTTTCCCTTTGTAGAAAAACTTGCTAATAACTGAATGGTGATTCTATCGTTTTTAATTATTTTCGTTTTTTTTTTTGAAAAGTTTAAAAAATAAAAAAATTGTTTTTAATTTTTTGACAAGTTAATAAATTTTTGTTTTTATGCATAAAATTAAAGTATCCCGTTGCATAAATTTAGTTTTAAATAACAAAAAAACTTTTTTTTCTAAATTTTAAAAAGGCCCATTAAGCCTAAAAAAATGCTATTAACTGGTTTTCCTTTGTATTTTTTTAAAATTTGGTTTAGCTTTGGATGGGTTAAACTCTCGGGAAAAAAATTTTGGGGCCCTTTTATCTACCTTTAAAGGTTTTTGGGGGAATAAAGGGCCCAATTAAAAAGGGGGCCACATCTAAATTAAACCCCCTAAAGGGGAATTTCCCCTTTTTGCTAGAAAAAGGGCAAATAAAATCCTCCCCTTGTTCTCATGCTTTTTTCCAGGTAAAGGGCAAAAAATTTTACGTTTATGTCGTAGCCCAAAAATTTCCCCCATTTATTAGGTTTGCGAGTCGTGTTTTGGGTTTTAAAAGGGGCTCATAAAATTCGCTCTTTTCCTGTACAAAATGATTATAATATAGAAAGAGGGCATTTCTTTTTAAAAAAGCCCCTTTTGAGGGTTAAAAGGGTTTCAGGTTTTTGATGGCATAGGGGGTTTTAACCCCGGGGGAATTTTAACTTTAGGGTTGCCCCAAATGCTACCCGTTGTTCTTTGGCCTCCCCGGGAGGTTTTCCATTTTGGTTTTTCAAGATAAAGTGAAACAGGAACTTAAAAAAAGGGGAAAAAAAGGGGGAGTAATTTGGGCCTAAAGATTTAAACACCCAAAAAATGGGGGGTAAAAATTTGGGGTTGTTATTTAAAAAAAGGAAATTTGGCGATAACGTTTTGTTTAGACCCTCCGTTCGCTTTAAAATATTTGAAAAATTAAAGCTTTACCCCTACCCGCTCAAAAACATTGATGAGGGTATTCCTTTTAAGTTTGGAAAGGGCAAGAAATTTCACAAAATTGGATTTACTAGGGGGCTTACTGGTAATACAAATTTATTGAAGAGTCGTCTTTTTTGACGGGCATTTAAAGCCCCATTGGGGGTCTTTCAGGTATCTTTCGTGCCCAAAACGGTTTTAAACGAAAAAAAGGGGTGTTTTTTTGGGTTGGGGGGGGCCCCTTTGGGAAGGGAGGCACTGATAGGTTCAAAGGGGGGTAGCTAAAATTGTTGAGGGATATTTGTGTAGGGGGGTTTCCCACGAGGGAAAGCCCATGGACCGAAATTTAGTAGCTTTTTCCTTGAACGTGCTTTGAAAAAAGGCTTTCCGTTTCAATTCCAGAAATTTTGGAAGTGGGGGTCTCCCGGATTATTTTAATTTTGGGTTCACGTTTTAAAATTGCAGAAGGCAAAAAGGGGCCCGACCCCGGGCCAAAAATTGAGGCCAATTAAGGGGGATATAGACAACCCACTTTCAAAAAGTAAATTTCAGGGGGGTTTTAGGCTTTGGTTTTACTCAGTCGTTATGTCCCCCGGGGAAAAAATTTTTTCAGAGATTCCCCTCCAAATGAGGGGTTTTAGGGGGCTTTAGGACACTAATTACCGGTGGCAAAAGGGCCTTTTAAAAATTTGGTTTTCCCTTTTGGGGAAAAATGAAAAAGTCATTTTGAAAGGGACACATTTTTTAGCTTATTATAACCCAAACTTTTTTTTTTGACTTTGAAAGGTTGATTTCTTCTTTCCAAAATCTTTAGGGGCAGTAATCCTTTCAAGAAAAACGTCCATAGCATTTGCGTCCCGTAGCTTAAACTGGAATCACAGAGAAATATGGGTCAAATTTTATAAAAGAATTAATTATCTATTGTCTTTGATTTACGAAAATTTTTCATCAGTACTGCTATGGCCGTGATGTCATTGTAGAAAATGACCATCTCCCTATTAACAGGGATTGCTGAAAAAGCCTACGCATTCAATACCTGCTAGGTTGCAGCGTTTAGTCCTTGAAAATTAATCCATATAGGTTTCAGTTTCGTCACATGTCCGGTAAGAAAAATCCCATTAGCAGATGGAAATTAAGCAGAAAACGCCATTTCCGGAACCAACCCCAGAACTTTTTGGAGGGTATTGGGAAGGCACCGTTTGCAGGGGTTTAATTTTATTTTTCCCCCGGGTGTCGATAAAAAAACTTGGGGAAATAAATTTAAACAACCCCCAAACAAGATAAAACAATTATGTACATTAAAAAACCAAAAATAAAGTTTGGGGGCCCTAAGTAAAAAGGCTTTGTCATCAGTTTTGCCGGTTTTGGAACTATGGGGATGAGTTTCTGGGGTTTAAATTTTTTTAAAAAATGGGGGGGGAAAAAAATCGTACCCAGGTACTAGATCTAAAAATGTTAAAGGGGTGCTGCATTCCAGTCATCTGGGGGGCCCAAAAAATGCCTTTTTAAAAACAAGGTCAAAAAAGGGTTTTGGGGGGAATTTCAAATGTTTAAAAATTTTTAAAATTTGGGAAATTTTAAATGTCAAAATTTGGGTCTGGAAAACAGGTCTCGAAAACGAAGGACCCTTTTAATCAGCTTGAAATCCCAGTTTCCCCGGGTTAAATTTGGGGCAGGGGGGTGACTTGTTCTCACTTAATGAAAAAATTTTTTAAAGGGTCATGTCCAAATTACTATTCTAGGCCCCCATGTTCATGAATTTCGAACTAAAAATTTTTAAAACTGTTATTTCCCAATGAAAGATATAAATTCCACTTGGGGATATGTGAAAAAAATAGCCCAACTGGGGGGGGTTTCCATGTTTTTTCTAAGTAAAGAATTTGAGGATTTTTTAAAGGTAGGGGGATTTTGTACAGGGTAAAATGTAGTCCATATCTTTAACCCAAAAAAAAATTTGGTTTTTGGCTGAGGGGGGAAAGTTTAAAATTTGGGAAACGAAATACTTAAAAGGAAAAAAGATGAAAATTTCTAAAATCCGAAAAAGGGGTTTTTTTTAAAAATTTTTGTTCTATCCTCTCGCTGTTTTAAAAAGGGGAAAATTTATCCAGGGGCAGTTACCCAAATTTACGACAATTTTTCTATTTTCCAGGGTAAGGGAAAAACCTTAAAACCAAAAGGGTCCCGGCCGGGTTTGTTTTTAAACAAAAATCGCAGAACCCAAGGTCAATCTGATTATATGATAAAAATGCAAACCCTCTGTCCCCCTTTAAATGTTGGAGTTCCGCTAGAATTCAAAGGGGTTCTAGAAAGCCCGGGAAATTTCCCCGCGGGTTTGTAAAAAAAAATACGGGCGATAGGTCTATATTGTTGAAACAGAAAACGGACAACAATATCGCGGAAATCGTAAAGGATTTTTTTAAAAATCTAAAAAATTTGCCCTTTATTGACACCAGGTGTTTTGAATTCTGGCCTTAAAATGTGTTAATGAAGAAGATTAACGTAGGGCCCAGAGCGAAACCGATAGAATTTAAACGGGCCTGTGGTTTTAAAATTTTTCCGGTTTAATGCTAAATTTTTGTTCACTGGGGCCGGGGCCATGAAAGGTGAAGCCACGTGCTGTAAACATGCTTGTAAATAGACAGTGATTGTTTGTAATGAAGAAATTTTACAGTATTAATCATGTTTAGTACATTGTTGGGTTAAACGACTTGCATGATAATGAACATTTATTAAAACTATTATGTTACTGTAATCATCATCTAATATAAAGTCTTTTTCTTCCCTGAATTTATTTTAAGCGTTATTCAAATAATCTATGCGGTTATACTTATATGATAAAATTATGTTTAAATATAACGCTAAATTTTGTAAAAGATGGAAGATGTAGCATGATGAGTAAACTGTAACATATACTCTAGGTGCGTACAGCTCCTTTATAATAGAGAGTTCCCCCTAGATCTTAAGATAGTACCATCGCGGACACTGATATGTAAACACATTGTATCATATAATAATAGTTTAGATAATAAACGTAGTTAGAGCACATATATATTTATGTCGTTCATAAACCCATGACATAACATTGGTGTCCTGTTAAAAAAAAACAACAACAAAAAAACTAATTAACCATATAGTAAACCATGTCTAGATCTAGAATATATGAATGTCCCTTTTTTGGTTTGTTTTGTAATCACACAACACAGTAAAAGTCATATGGCAACATTCCAGTGTCACTCAGTCTGGTGGATAAAGACCTAAGATGCCTCTAAAGGCAATAAATACCACTGACCTTCCCCTAAAAAATAACTTTCCCAGTCTATTATTATAATAATTGTTATATTGAAGTTGATGTCTGTACAGCCTTTGCATAGCTTTTACCCCCTTCTTAAATATCTTTGGAGTTTTCCCAGCAATTAACCTCTCAATCTATGTGCCGGCCAGTGTAAGCTTTTTCCTGTTCATATTGTCAAGGAAAATATTAACATTTAGATGGTGTTAGTCCACTATTGACTTACATCTTCAGTGCCACCCTTCAAGATGGTTATTTGTCCTGCGTTTCTTGTCCATAAAATATTTTTCAACCTAATGTTGTATTCTATCTATTGGCTATTTGACCAGATTACTTTTCTTTTGAATGTTGATGCATTAATTTCATCACTTGGTTTTTTACCCTGTTTGTGATAGAGTAAAGGTATTTTTTGCATATTCTAACATATTATAGCTTATTTCTTTGAAAGCAGTGTTTAATCACTGTATTTTTTATGGTAGGGCAACATTTTTGCAAAATTTAACAATTTTTAAATTTTCATAAAAAAAAAAAAAAAAAAACCAACGTAACTCTGGTGTCGGGCTGCTGTAAAGTTTTGTCTTGACAGTCATAAAGAGGTTGTTGATAATATACAATGTATCATATTTTATTACAGGTAGTCCTGAATCGTTGTGTGGTTACCAGATCAGGTTCGAATCCAAGCTTGGTCCAAACACTTGCCTTACATACTGCACGACTGGCGTATTACTCAGGAAACTACAACTAGATTCTAAACTACAGCATGTTACACATATCATTGTTGATGAGGTATTCTTACACTTTCTCTTTTGATAATTGTACAAGTTTTATGCCACTTCCATTCACAATGTCCCTCATTTTACTGTTTCTTATAGCAACTTAACTTATAGTCTGATATATGCATTATGTTGTTAACTTTTATGGGTGGGGTTTCTGGTCAATTTGATCAAGGCAACTGAGGCTAGAATTACTTTTCCAGTCAGCTTACTTTAAGGAATATAGAAAGAATTAAAGTTTCAATATGAAGGAGTTAATGGTGTGTCTGTGGCAGAGTGGTTATGGTCATTGACTTTAAACTTACTTACTCCTCACTGCTATGGGTTAGAATCCCTACAGGAATTCCGAGAGGATCTTTGAATTCTTTCAAGTTAGGAAGTTGTCCAGCTAGATTACAGAACTTTAGTGGTTTCTACTCGGGGTGCCTGATTGTGTAGAGAGGCACCTGAGGTCTTACTCTACCAGTAAAGCTAGAAAGTTGCCATTGACTTGTGTTGCTGCAATGTTAAAAAAAAAAAATTATCTTCATGTACTATCAAAATGAAAGTTTCTTTGTGAAAAAGAATAAAAAGTGTGTCTTGGGTAATTTACCAAAAAAAAAAAAAAAAAAATCTGATTTTGTTCTTAAGTGGCTTATGTTGTGAAGTAAAAATAAATAGATATAAATAATTGATAATTTATTGTTACAAAACATAATGAGGCCCACTAATAAATATCATGGACAAATCATATTGTTTTATAAATGATAGCAATTCTATTGTTAGGTACATGAGCGTAGTGTACAGTCTGACTTCCTGCTGATAATTCTACAACAATTGCTCAAACAGAGGTCGGATCTGAAGGTGATATTGATGAGTGCTACATTAGATGCTGATAAGTTTTCCGCCTACTTTAGTCACTGTCCAGTCATTAACATTCCTGGTCGCACATTTCCTGTAGAGGTACGTTAAGATTACTATCTGTATTTCTGATTATTAGGAGAAAAGACACAAAAGTTTGATCTCAAGTTTTCTCTCTCACCAATTAGCGAATTTAATTTAATTTTCTTGGAAAAGTATTTCTGATTATTAAGAGACACAGGGTGTCCATGGCCGAGTGGTTAAGGTCTTTGACTTCAAACCGCTTGCCCTTCACCTTGTTTGGGTTTGAATCTCAACAGGGACTTTGATTTCTTTCATGTGAAATGTTGTTTTTTTTGGTCCTTTTACCAGTTGTGCTGGAAAATGGTCTTATAATAAATACGCACATTGACAGTGGTGATGGGACATGGTATCAAACTCTTCCCCCTCAACACCAATAAAAAAGTGTGTTGAGCTTCATTGAGTTATAAAGATATGGACCCAATTTGTTGTTAACTTTGAATTATTTATGGGACACGTCTGTTGGTTTTAAATATTGCCAAAGACTTTGAATTATTTTACAGCTGGAAGTTATTCTAGCCGGCTATTATGGTGGTTGATGGTTCTATTCTTGTGCCTGCTTTTGTCTGAAGTAATGTATAGAACGGCACTGGATGTTCTTTTTCTACAGTATCGCTGGAGAATCTCCAAATGACAATAACAGTGTTGTTGTGACATTCAATAAATTATAAGTTATAAAGACTATTTGACAGGTTATATGGCCCTATATAAATGGTTGTTTGTATATATAACCTGAGTCACTATATTGCAAACAACTGTTAATATACAGCCATATAACCTTCCAAGAATCTTTACGATGAATTCATAATACAGCAAACTTCCTTTTTTAGAGGAAAACATGAAATGACTTCATAATTTCAAAGCAGCAGTGTATATTATTAGTTATAAAGATTGTTGACAGGTTATATGGCCCTATATAAATGACTATTTGTAAATATGACCCGAGCCGCTAGGCGAGGGTTATATTGCAAACAGCCATTTATAAACAGTCATATAACCTGTCAACAATCTTTATAACGAATTTATAATACAGGGAGCATCATTTTTTTATAGGAAAAAGTAAGATTTCTTCATGAATCAACAGCAGCCGTGTATATAAAGTTATATAAACATCATGATTATCCAATGAAAAGCCATGTTACAAACGTGCAGTATTTTAAAGAGGATTCTCCGTATCTGACTGATATATACAGGTTATTTTATATTTCAGGTGTTTCATGTAGAAGATATTGTAGAGATGACGGGACATGTGATAGACGAGGAATCTCCGTATCTGACTGATATATACAGGTTATTTTATATTTCAGGTATTTCATGTAGAAGATGTTGTAGAGATGACCGGACATGTGATAGACGAGGATTCTCCGTATTCTCTCAAACAATCACAACTTGTACAGGTTTGGCCTTGAAATATTTTTAATTTTGTGAAATTTCATTGCCTAATTCTTTGAAAAAAATATGGGTTACACAATTATTAAAATTGTAAGCGTTAAAGAAAACTCTGCCAAAAATGAGCACTATTAAATTTTAAAAGTATTTTGATTGGTCAAGGAAAATTAAACATGTAATTATTATATTTCTGTTGTATTCTATTTACAGCCTTCATATTTATTGTTCAACTACTAAATGCATGTAATATTGTTTTATTGTTTTACTTTTTAAATTATTAGATTATAGCCTTTTACTATATCATTTTAACTTGCAATTTTCCCAATTTTATTTATGAAAATTACACGTTTATACAAAGATTAACTAGTTTAACATGAAAATGAAAAATTTCCAAAAATTAATCAATGAAATATTTTATTTTAACAAAAATTGCCAAGTTAAGTCATGAAAATTACCATAGATTCAATAAACAAAATCACCCAAAAATTGTAAAGAGAATTCCTTAAAAAAGGCTAAAAAAAACCTGGCAAATGTTTGTTTTTTAGGAAGAGAGTGCAACTGTAAATATAACAGAAAAGGGGGGTAATCAGAGCCAAGGTGATGTATTCTGGACAAAAGATGATTTATCTACCATAGATCAGGTAGGTAATCAAAATACTTCTAACAAGTTTTCAGTATATTTATTTGACTATCTTTAAAAATGTTAATGCTATTATTTTTAGCGGAACTTAGCAAGATCTTATAATTATGTATTGAATAGGTGATTATCATAAACATACAAAAACATACATCTTTTAAAAAATTTGCTCAAAACCATTATTTATAAATTAAAGCCATTTTATTGTGAAACTTGTATATATATATTTTTTAATATAATTGTTTTGTTTTTGTTAAAATACAGGTCTAAAATAACCTGTTAGTGAACCTTGTTCTTTGCTCAAAACCACTTCTTTGAAAAAGAAATGTGAAATAAGGAGGCACATCATTTGTTCTTTAAAAAGGGTTCCCTGTTTATTAAATTTTGATAAATTATTTGTATTTATCCCATGGTAAATTGAACTCATTATCAAAGTTTATGTTTGCCTGCTTTGAACTGTAATTTGAGCATTTAAAATCTTTTGATACTTTTACCTGTAAAAATTGTCTTTCTTGGGTGAGTTGCAAATTTTGTTTTTATATGTCTTTTATGTCCATGAAGTTTATTCCCTTTTCCAACTATCCAAGCACTTTGCTGATGGTAAAAGTTACATTCGGCAACAATTTTAATTAGAGGATCTCCACTGTAGACCAAAAAGTTGACACTGGTGCATTTAAAATGGAAAATGTACAAAAGAATTGAAATTGAAAATTGATATTTTGTGCAATATTTAAATAAGCAAGTTGCAAGGTTTTTAAATGCTATATATTTTTGGGTAATGTTAAAAAATAAAAATTGTTATTCTGTTAAATAAGAGTGAGCAAATGTTGTGATATTTTGCTTACAAATTATTGGACCAACCCTTGATTAAATACTGCACACATATCTAAAAACTTAAAAGTATTTTCATGTAAAATATCAAAACACAGTGGAGTCCCTTTAATAATTGTTTTTATATTTTGTAGACAAACTTGTCAGCTGATAAATACTGTTTAAAGACAAGGAATACAATCACCAGGATGAATATGAAGAGAATTAACCTGGATCTTATTGTGGTTTGTATATTTCAATTGTGTTACCATGGCAACATGACACTCAAATTGTCTTTGGACATCTTCACCTGAGTGGTTATGGTCACTGACTTCAAATCACTTGCCCCTCATAGCTGTGGGTTGGAATCCCAACAGGGACTTGTAATGCTTTCATATGAGGAAGCTATCTAGATAGCTTATGGCAGGTTGGTGGTTCTACTTTGATAATTTCATAGCATTTATGACCCTAACCACACTAAATAACTAACATGGACTTACCTATCTTCCAATCTGGACAAAACCATTTAATCATTTTTAGGGAAAGTTTGAAAATAATTACTGACTGAATAGCAAACTGTGCAGACTATAACCAGATGGCTCAGATATACCGGCTGATCTTGGTCTACACTGGAGCACAGGTAGAATCAGTTGCTGCAAGCAAGCTTGTGTTCAGCCTGGCAATATGAATAAATAACTTAACATGTTTAATGGATTTATTTATATGCCTTAAGAAAAATGAACAATTTCTTCATGTTAGCCGAGCTGTTCTAACATACCATATATTGATAATGAAACCATTGGCAGTGTTCCACTAATAAAAGGGCATATAGGCATATTACCATTTAAAGAAGTTTTTGTGATAAAATAATAAATAATATCATGAAACCTGACAATATACATGTTTATATATGTAACTGCAGGACTCATTAATATATCTAGAGAAGAGTGAACAGTTTCACCATGTACATGGCGCTGTGCTGATATTTCTACCCGGTTTGGCTGATATCACAGAACTGTACGAGATGTTGAATAGTGATCGCAAATTTACAGACCATAAAAAGTAAGTTGATTGGTTATGATTAATACAGATGAGTTTTACACATAGTAATACATAAGTTATCAATACTTAACTTTCAAAATTAGCTTCATGAGCAACTGAAATGTTTATATCAAAACCATCAGAATAATAATGGACAAGTCCTTTACAAAATTTAGCAAGGTACAGGTGAAAACATATACAAACATATCTATTATGATTATAATTATATGATCATCTGTGTTTCAGGTATCGTGTCATAGCCTTACATTCTGTGTTATCATCATCGGAGCAGGCGCAGGCCTTCTCTGTCCCGCCAACTGGTGTTCGTAAGATTGTTCTCGCTACAAATATTGCCGAGACTGGTATCACCATACCAGATGTCGTGTTTGTCATAGATGCCGGAAAGGTCAAAGAGAATAGGTAAATAAAAATAATTCAGAATGATGGTTACAAATATAATCCATATTGGGAGTTAAAACTTCTTTAAATGAGTTTTTGATTTTTAGCTCGACTATACGAAGTATATGGAGAGCTGTCCTACTCGCCCCGGCGTCCGCGTCCAGATTTCAGATTAAAGTTTTGGTGCAGTAAAATATTTTTCACTATAACTTTGTCACTTTTTAAGGTATCAACTTCAAACTTCAAATATTCCTTATCATCAACTTCATACTTCCAATATATGTACCTTATCATTAACCACATCTTATGTGACAAGGTTCATAACTCTAGCACCAATATTTTCAGATTTATCTCCCCTTGAACTTAGAATTTTCCTTAAAAAATACTATTTTTTACTGTTACTTCTTTATTTCTTAAGGGATCAACCTCATACTTCAAATATATGTACCTTATCATCATCCCCATCTTATGTGACAAGGTTCATAACTCTAGCACCAATATTTTCAGATTTATCTCCCCTTGAACTTAGAATTTTCCTTAAAAAATACTATTTTTAGCTCACCTGTCACAAAGTGACAGGGTGAGCTTTTGTGATCGCTTTTCGTCTGGCGTCCGTCCGTCCGTCGTCCGTCCGTAAACTTTTATTTTAAATGACATCTCCTCATAAACCACTAAGCCAATTTAATCCAAACTTCACAGGAATGTTCCTTTGGTGGTCCCCTTTAAAAATTGTTCAAAGAATTTAATTCCATGCAGAACTCTGGTTGCCATGGCAACCGAAAGAAAAAACTTTAAATATCTTCTTTTAAAAAACCGTAAGAGCTAGAGCTTAGATATTTGGCATGAAACATCTTCTAGTGAGTGTCTACCAAGTTTGTTCAAATAAAAGCCCTAGGGTCAAAATTGGCCCCCCCGGGGGGTCATTGATTTTCCCTATATGCATATAGTAAAAATTTAAAAAATCTTCTTTTTAAAGAACCCAAAGAGCTAGAGCTAAGATATTTAGCATGAAATATGTTCTAATGGGTGTCTACCAAGTTTGTTCAAATAAAAGCCCTGGGGTCAAAATTGGCCCCGCCCCAGGGGTCATTGATTTTCCCTATATGCATATAGTAAAAACTTAAAAAATCTTCTTTTAAAGAACCAAAAGAGTTAGAGCTAAGATATTTAGCATGAAACATGTTCTAATAAGTGTCTACCAAGTTTGTTCAAATAAAAGCCCTGGGGTCAAAATTGGCCCCGCCCCGGGGGGTCATTGATTTTCCCTATATGCATATAGTAAAAACTTAAAAAATCTTCTTTTAAAGAACTCAAAGAGCTATGGCTAAGATATTTAGCATCAAACATGTTCTAATAGGTGTCTACCAAGTTTGTTCAAATAAAAGCCCTGGGGTCAAAATTGGCACCGCCCCGGGGGTCATTGATTTTCCTTATATGTGTATAGCAAAAACTTAAAAAATCTTCTTTGAAAAAACCCAAATAGCTAGAGTTAAGATATTAAGCATGAAACATCTTTTAGTGAGTGTCTACAAAGTTTGTTCAAATAAAAGACCTGGGGTCAAAATTGGCCCCGCCCCGGGGGTCATTGATTTTCTTTATATGTGTTATAGCAAAAACTTAAAATCTTCTTTGAAAAAACCCAATAGCTAGAGTTTAGATATTAAGCATGAAACATCTTCTAGTAAGTGTCTACAAAGTTTTTTTCAAATAAAAGCCCTAGCCCGGCCGCAGGGGTGTCATTGTTTTTAACTATATGTGTATAGTAAAAACTTTAAAAAATCTTCTTTTAAAAAGCCCAATGAGCTAGAGCTTAGATGTTTAGCATGAAACATCTTCTTATGGGTGTCTACCAAGTTTGTGCAAATAAAAGCCCTTGGGTTAAATTGGCCCTGCAACGTTGGGGGGGGGGGGGGTTGGGGGGGGGGCCTATATACAGGTGAGCGACCTCAGGGCCATCATGGCCCTCTTGTTTTCTGTTACTTCTTTATTTCTTAAGGGATCCACCTCATACTTCAAATATATGAACCTTATCATCATCCCCATCTTATGTGACAAGGTTCATAACTTTAGCACCAATATTTTTAGATTTATCTCCCCTTGAACTTAGAATTTTCTTTAAAAAATATTATACTGTAACTTATTTATTTCTAAAGGGATCAACTTCATACTTCAAATAAATGTACCTTATCATCACCCGCATCTTATGTGACAAGGTTCATAACTCTTGCACCAAAATTGCAAGAATTATCTCCCCATCAACTTAGATTTTTTTTACTAGAAAAATGTTATTTTTTACTATAACTTTTTAAGTTTTAAAGGTATCTACTTCAAACTTCAAATACTTATTCCTTATAATCAATTATATTTTATGTGACAATGTTTATTAACTCTTGAAGTAATATTTACAGATTTATCTCTCTTTGAACTTAGGATTTTCTTGAAGAAATATTATAACTTTGTTACTTTTTAAGGTATCTACTTCAAACTTCAAATATATACTTCTTATCATTACATACATGTTGTGTGACAAGGTTCATAACTCTAGCGTGACTATTTTTAGAATTATTTCCCTTGATCTTGGAATTTATTTTAACAAATGTTATTTTTTTACTATAACTTAATACATGATTATACATAATTGATTTTTCTTTCATAGTTTTGTCCTCCTTTCTGCGTCCAGTATTTTATTAGTCGAGCTTGGCTGTCTCCTGTGACAGCTCTTGTTTGTATTTTTGCTGTGATTTTAAGAATAAAATCTCAATATTTGTTAGCATCTAGTGATGTTAAACCTGAATGTCAAATATTATAAGCACAATTATTTATGAAAGGCAAATGGTCATTTCTCCACTGATTTTAAATGGCTCATGTAAGACAGAGGTTAAGATAGGTGATTTCCAATTGCCTGCCTATCACTGCTGTGGGGTTTAATCCCACCAAGAACTTAAGATTCTTTTATATAAGAAATCTTTTCATCTAGTTTACAAAAAGCTGTTTTTAGACATACTTATTTCTCTTTATAATTTTGTTCTCTGATACATTAAAGAAGTGATTTAATTATTTCCAGGTATATAGAGACAAGCCAGATGAACGCATTGGAGGAAGTTTTTATCAGTAAAGCTAATGCCAAACAAAGACAAGGAAGAGCTGGACGTGTAAGGGATGGTTTCTGTTTCAGATTGTTCACCAAACAAATGTAAGAACAATTTATAATATTTTCCTGCTTTTTTTTTTCTTTGAAATTTTTTTTCCATGTGTGCTCTGTTTAACACTAGAAACATGTATTAAAGACTCACTGCAAGAGAAAGAGAGAGTGGGTGGGTCATCCTATTATTTATATACAGATAATCTTTGTTTTAGAAGTAGTTGTCGGTTCCCAAAGACATAATTTGCCTCAGAAACAAATAAACTTGCCTTCTTAAGAAAGGGCAATCATCATGAGTTTCTTAACATCTGAATAATGATTTTAGAGGATGTTAGACGCTAATAATGTGAAGAAAGGAGTGCAGAATGAGAAAAATATTTTTCATAAAAGTAGCAAAATGTAAATGTATTTTGACCTCCATACAAATCACCTAATCCCTATAACTGTACTTATTGCTAAGAGGCAACAGATGCAAAAGATGGTCCAGGAAATTGGCAAATAAGTGATTTTTTTAAAATTATAACAGAACACCAAAAATAAAAAAAAAAACTTTAAAAAATTTAAAACAAAAACATTTCCCGAGCATAATGGGTCTTTAAAGGTGTATGGGTGTAAAGCACCAATTGACAGGAACTGAATTAAACACTTAGCCTGCTGACCACCACTGTATCTACCTACATTGTATGCAACAATTGCAGACCAGGACCAAGATTAGCTAGCACATCTGTGCTGTATTATCATACTCTACACTGTTTGCTATTCACTCACTGTTTCATATTATGAAAATCTCCCTAAAATTGATGAATGGTTTTGTCCAGATTGAAAGACAGACAAGTCATTTTAGGATATTTAGAAGGTTCAAGGGTAAAGTCTTAAGAGAAATTTTAGTTGAAGTTGAGTGAGTGGATCAAACTTTCAGCCCCTGGAGTAGTTCTGTCTGTCCCAAATTATCACTTGACCAATGAGCTTACTCTAAATGAATATCATGACATTTAAACTAGTTTTGAAAAGGTTTAGATGGTTTGTTAATTTGTTTAGCCAGTTTTTGTGTGATAACAAGATAATTTAAGTGATAACAAGATAATTTAAGTGATAACAAGATAATTTAAGCAATAACTATATAATTTAAGTGATAACAATATAATTAAAGTGATAACAAGATAATTTAAGTGATAACAAGATAATTTAAGTGATAACATATAATTAAAGTGATAACAAGATATAAAGTGATAACAAGATGACAAAAAGAATTTCAGTGATAACAAGATGATTTAAGTGACATGACAAACTTCAGGTTTCTATAGATTAACAGAACCTGGGAAGATGATGTTAACATTGACTTATGTTGTTTTGTATATTTGTAGGTATGACAACATGAAACCATTCACCATCCCAGAACTTCTAAGAGTACCTTTGGAAGAACTTTGTTTGCATATAATGGTTGGTAAATTTCTGTTAGAAGAAACTGTATGAAATTATGTCATGTTTTATTCAAAATTTACATCTTTGCTATGTATATTGGTGCCCCTGATTTGTTCTTATGATTTACATGTCATAGTAGTATGAAATTTGACTATCAATTATGCTAGAATTTAGACAGCAATTCATTCGTGTTTGGAAAGAGTTTTTAAGCTGTAGGAATGTTATTCTATTATATTGTTAGACAGTAATTTTGTATAGAATCTTTTGACTAATTATAAGTATACAAAATGACTAAAATAGACCATGGTCAAAAAGTGTGTAAGCATCGATAAGAATATTCACAATTAGGACCACCCGGCAATTAAGACCACTTTGGTCCGGTCCCAATGGTGGTCTTAATTGAGGGTTTCTACTGTAAATGTAAGGAAATTTAGTTGAAACCATGAATACCCTGATGAAGGCAATTGAATAGCTGAAACATAGGTCATCAATAAATATAATGAAACCTGACCCACTTCGTTTTGTGCATTTCACAACTTTTATTCTTTTCATTGAAATCATGAATAATAATACATAAGAAATCTGGCGACGATGTGAAAGAGATCAATCATTAAAAAGAATAATTTGTCAGAAATTATGGAAAAAGTTAGAATTTTGTTTTTGGCCATTATATGTCTTTTCAATCAGTGTGGTGTTATGCTTCTATAATGTTTTTCAGAAATGTAACTATGGTAAACCAGAAGTGTTCCTATCTCAAGCTCTGGATCCGCCACAGCCCCAGGTTGTCAGTAGAGCCATGTCTCTATTATATATGATTGGGGCATGTGTTGAAGGGGAAAAGTTAACTCCCTTAGGTCACCACTTGGCGGCACTGCCTGTTCATGTCCGGATAGGGAAAATGTTATTGTATGCAGCTGTGTTTGGCTGCCTGGAGCCAGTGGTAAGGAAATTTATCCCTTTGAAGCTTAGCCACAATAATAACAAGCCTATGTAACAAGTATAACCCGGGCCCGCCCGGGAAAATTTAGTCTGGGGGCAGCCGGGGCCCCAGTTTGTTGGTTATTGTTTTTAAATTTTAGTATTTTGATTCATTTTTTATTAGTTTTTTTTGTGTGAAGCTAGATTTTAAAAGACACTCTTTTTTAATCAGTTTCTGGAAATTTAAATATTTTAAGGCAATGGGGGGTTTTTTTAAAGGGGTTTCTTGCTCCAAAAGGAAAAAAGGGGTTTTAACTGGGGAAAGGGGGGGTTTTAGACTCAAAGCGTCAAATTCCCTTAAAATTTCCCAAATTAAAAATTCACCCCAAATCTACTAAGTTCCCAAAATTTAAAAAGGGGGTTTTAGTTTTTCATTTTAAACAGCTTAGACTAAATTTAGGTAAAAAAGGTGTAATTGTCATTTTTTCCCCCAAATCAGGATTTTGGATTAAAACCCAAACAAATTTCTAGAATTGGGATTTTTTTGTTTTGTTAAACAAAAAAAACCTTTGGGGGTTTAAATTTGGGTTAACCATGTAAGTTGGAAAAAAATGTAAAAAAAGGGGTAAAAACCGAAAAAAAAAAATAAAAGTTAAAGGTTGAAAAAAGGCCCTATGATTCTAAAATGAATGAACTTGAAACTAACTCTAAATAACTATATTTATATATGTAGGCAGTGATTGCAGCCTCTATGACAGATAAGTCACCATTTGTTGTCCCCCTTGGTAAAATGGATGCTGTAAACGCTGCCAAACAGTCTATAGCCCTTGCAGCCTCGGACCATCTGACAGTGTACAAGGCTTATCATGGCTGGAGACATGCTCGCTCACATAGTAGACAGGCTGAGATGACTTACTGCCATAAAAACTTCTTGAAGAGAAACACCATGCTAGAAATAGAGGTATGTGGGTAATAGTATTATCTCTACATTATCTATGTTCCTCATTACTCCACCCACTATTGTATAAATACATGAACATGTACTTATTTTTGCAGGAACATTATTCCTGCTTTTTCTGCAGACGACAGTTGTACCACAGATGTGAAATCTTTCTTATTGCATTTGTATTGTTTTAAACAATGAGTTATTGTATGATTTATTGTAATATTGCTATCATTGACCTTTGTAGTTCAAATGCACTGAGATTGTTTTATAATATGCGTATCTTGGTTTTTACAGAATTTATTTTAGTTTGATTGTAAAGGAAGCTATAAAGTTATAGAGACACTTGGAACCGACCAGTACTGAGCAATGAGTGTAAAGTTTCTTGCTAAAGTACTGAGCAATGGATGTATAGTTTCTTGCTAAAGTACTGAGCAATGAGTGTAAAGTTTCTTGCTAAAGTACTGAGCAATGAGTTTAACGTTGCTAAAGTACTGAGGAATGATTGTATAGTTTCTTGCTAAAGTACTTTGGAATGAGTGTAAAGTTTCTTGCTAAAGTACTGAGCAATGAGTGTAAAGTTTCTTGCTAAAGTACTGAGCAATGAGTGTATAGTTTCTTGCTAAAGTACTGAGGAATGAGTGTAAAGTTTCTTGCTAAAGTACTGAGCAATGAGTGTAGAGTTGCTAAAGTACTGAGCAATGAGTGTAAAGTTTCTTGCTAAAGTACTGAGCAATGAGTGTATAGTTTCTTGCTAAAGTACTGAGCAATGAGTGTAAAGTTTCTTGCTAAAGTACTGAGCAATGAGTGTAAAGTTTCTTGCTAAAGTACTGAGCAATGAGTGTAAAGTTTCTTGCTAAAGTACTGAGCAATGAGTGTATAGTTTCTTGCTAAAGTACTGAGCAGTGGGTGTAAAGTTTCTTGCTAAAGTACTGAGCAATGAGTGTAGAGTTGCTAAAGTACTGAGCAATGAGTGTAGAGTTTCTTGCTAAAGTACTGAGCAATGAGTGTAGAGTTGCTAAAGTACTGAGCAATGAGTGTAAAGTTTCTTGCTAAAGTACTGAGCAATGAGTGTAAAGTTTCTTACTCCTCAAGGAAACAACGTCTTTCCCATGATGGGTATAAACCCATATGGCTGATCATAAGATTACTAATCCATCACATTAACTACTTGGCCATGCCACCAAATGTACATTTTATGAGGAACATAGATTAATCTTTATAAAACTTGACATTTAGTTGACTTTCACTTGTTTTAACATTATAAATTTAAAAATAGCCATTACAATATGGTTTATGTTGATCAAGAACTAAACCAAGTTTTTTTTTTTTTTCTTTTTTTTTTTTTTCTTAACAGTTCTTGTTATTGTGGTTGCTTTTGCCTTTTAGAAAAGTTTTTTTTGAGAGAGAAGTTTTTTTGAGACTGAATCAAAATGAGTCAACGATTTTCACCTATCAGACAATCTGATTTTATTCTCCCCTCCTCCAGAACTTACATGTATTTCTTTTTTTTTCCAGAATGTAAAGTCTGATCTTATGAAACTGATACATTCAATTGGATTTTCCCTGCCACTGAAAGACCCGAGTATGGACACAGACTATGGAATAGATGGTGTTTTACATATCAGTAAACATAAAACTCATGATGACCTTGACCCTAGAACTATAGCAAAGGTCAAGGCCGTTTTAACAGCTGGACTGTATCCAAATATAGCCAAAGTGACATATGAGGCTCCTGTTGATGCAGCTGTAAACCCCGATCAAAGGGTTTGTGTAACAGAAACTCAGCAAGGACCTGCAAGTGTTCACCCATCATCTGTTAATAGGAATTTACAAGCTAATGGATGGCTTGTGTTCCATGAAAAGGTAGGCTTATTTATTTTGGTGTAGGTCATACTCAATAGGATTATTTAAACAGTTTTGTAGAGGGGAGATATATCAATTTAGCAAGAAATATTTCCCAAAAGAGACAGTTTCAATGTTTTCTTCCACATTTGTTTCGTTGTACAATAGTCTTGTAATTCATTCGTTTGTAGGTGAAATCTTCCAGAGTGTATCTAAGGGACACAACTCTTGTATCAGCATATCCATTACTCTTGTTTGGTGGGGAAATCAATGTTCAGCATACAGAACAACTGTTAACTGTTGATGACAGGATCAAGTACAAAGCCTATGCCAAGACAGGTGTAATATTTAAAGAGCTTAGAAAATTGCTGGATGATCTGTTGGCTAGGAAGCTGGAGGATCCTTCACTCAGTATTGAGAGTAAGTATATAGGCAGAATGTAAAATCTAATTCTTCAAATCCAACACACACAAAGAGTAGCAATGATCCTTTGTTTCATTATTTTCTCAGCAAATTTCATTTATTGACAGGTATTTAAGACATCTGATGTGTTGGTACCGTCTAGGACCTATATCTTTAGGATGGGGTTTCTGGTCAAAAGGGTCATGGTCATTGAGTCTTAAGATAGATTTTAATCACTTTTCTCCATAGCAGTGTCACATTTTTAAGTTTGTCTAAACAACTTTGGGGATCAGCTATTCTTATAGCTCAATTGCTTGTCTTTAAACAACACTAGATTAAAATAAAAAAAAATTACTTGAGCAATGTAAAATTAAAAGTTTGTCTATACATGTAAGTTATTTGAGCCACGTCACGACAAAACCAACATAATGGGTTTGCAACCAGCATGGATCCAGACCAGCCTGTGCCTTCGCGCAGTCTGATCAGGATCCATGCTGTTCGCTATCAGTTTCTTTACTTGTTATAGGGTCGTTAAGCGAACAGCATGGATCCTTGTCAGACTGCGCGGATGCGCAGACTGGTCTGGATCCATGCTGGTCGCAAACCCATTATGTTGGTTTTGTCGTGACACGGCTCATTTATAATACCTTATTTTTTCAGGTGATCATCTAATTAGATTGATAGAGGATTTGCTGGCATCAGAGAGAACCAGGTAGCTTGTTAACAGTCATATACACAGTTATGTCTTAACCTTTTACCCCTGCACAGCTGCTTTTTCCATCAATATAGAGCCAGGCCAGCCTGCAGATCCTTACAGTCTGACAATAATGATCAATTTGTTTGTACAATAAATGACATATAAAAGTGAAACTGGTTTCACAATTTGTAGTTCTCTTGTTATGTTTTTATTTTTTTAACAGTGCCATCAATGGATGAAATTATTGGTGCATTACTGACTCTTTTGTTGTGTAAAGTATGACATGTTAATTATTATTAAGTCTATGGTATACAATGAATACATGGTGTAGAGTAGATATAAGTTGTATAGTGGATATATGATTGACAGTGGATATATAATGTACAATGAATACATGGTGTACAATGGATATATGGTGTACAATAGATATATAGTATATGGTGTACAATGGATATATGGTGTACAGTGAATATATGATGTACAATGGATATATGGTGTACAATAGATATATGGTATACAATGGATATATGATGTACAATGTATATGTGGTGTACAATGTATATATGGTGCACAGTGGATATATGGTGAACATTGAGTATATATGGTGTACAATGGATATATGGTATACAATGGATATATGGTGTACAATGGATATATGGTATACAATGGATATATGGTGTACAATGGATATATGATGTACAATGGATATATGGTGTGCATTGAGTATGTATGGTATACAATGGATATATGGTGTACAATGTATATATGGTGCACAGTGGATATATGGTGAACATTGAGTATATATGGTGTACAATGGATATATGGTGTACAATGGATATATGGTGGATATATGGTGTACATTGAGTATATATGGTATACAATGGTTATATGGTGTACAGTGGATAAATGATGTACAATGGATATATGATGTACAATGGACATATGATTTACAATGAATATATGGTTAACATTATATATATATATTTGTATAACTTAAGCAAGCATTTCATTGTCTCAGTGACATATATGGTGCAATTATGTTATATAGTTTAAATTTTCCTAGCTAGGCAGAGACATTAACACAAGTTGTATTATTGTTACAAGTTTTGTCAAGGTTGTTTTTTATGGTGTTGTAAAGGGATTGTTTAAAATACTAGCATTATATGTGAATGTTATTTTTTTACATATTTTTGGTTCTGTTTTGTTGTTGTAAAGAGAAGGTTATCAGAAGGGAATTTTTGGGTGTTTTTAACCAAATTTTGATAGTTAATATACAAGTATTCTTTAACTTTGTTTTAAAGCATCATCTTTTTTGAGAATGGATACACAGTACAGCTCACATCATCCACATCCAAAAAAAATTTGTTAACATCTGTGAACAATCTGTCCTAATGAATATATATATTTATCATATAAACTGCAGCACAGGAGTGTAATAAAGCCATGTAATAAGAACGATATTACACTAGTGTAATAACACTTTGAGGTGATGTCATTTGCGTCATATATAAATATAGCATTAAAGCGTGCTAGTGTTAGCGTTACACTATAGGTGCGTCAATGAAAACTGGACATTTTAGCTGTAAACCGTTCTCTTTTTGAATATGTGATAAATAGAATATTATATTTGTGAAGATTCAATACTAAATCTATTGAACTCGTTAAATAAAAGAATATTATGCTTGCCAAAGGCTCCCATAATATGATTTTATTCAACTCGTTCAATAAATTTAGTATTAAACCTACACTCATGCAATATCCTCTATATATGTAAATTTTTGCCAAACTTTCTGTATATAGTCATATTTCCAAATCCTGAATTATTATCCATTGAAATCCTTTTTTACCCCATGATAATATAGTTAACAATAGTTTGTGTACCATAAATATGATTTGTGTTCATGCTCAAATTCTAATGGTTCTTCTAGATAGGTCTGATATCCATGATTATTTAGTATCTGCCAGTCTGTATACAATGTTCTTGTTCTGAGATATTAAGAAGTAAATGTTGTTTTTGTTAATTTGATACTTATGTTGAATATACTAATTTTTTTTGGACAAAACAGGTGTAAAGAGGCTTTCATTGCAATTTATTTAATTCATAAACATTATAGTGTGGTCCCAAAATCTGTCTCCAGTTACCTCCCTTGATAGTTGTCACAGAGTTCATTAGGTCATGTGAAACCATTTACATAAAAATGGGTGAGTTTGATGGGGTTTTTGTTAAAGAAAATATAAGACTTTTATTGTGGAAATATAGGCTTCTGCATCAACTGTATGTATTCAGTTTGTAAGGTTTTGTTGTTGTTGTTTTTTTGTTTTGTTAATGTTGAATTTAATTTTTGTAAATGTTAAAAGTGCTTCAGATTGGTTCAAAGTATCAATGTTTTTATAAGATAGGTTTACCGGAACATTTAGGTAGTTGACTAGTTGAAAATCCAAATCAGAAAGATTTCAAAGTCCAAGGTCAGATTTTAGGGTCAATGCAAATTCTGAATGCTCAGTTCTTTTCTACAGGGCCATTGACAAACTTGAAGGCCAAGGAAAGGCAGAAAGGTCAGTGTGACTGTCTAATTTGAAGAACAAAACCAGACTTAAAAGGCTAAGGTCACATTTTATGTACAAAGTCAAACTTCCCAAATTTGTTTTGCTTAAAATGTCTCTATTATCATATTCTAACAACATGCCAAGTTTAAAGAAATTCGTTTGAACAGTTTTAATTTTGCCCATATGTCGTTATGAAAACTCCCGGAAACGTCCATTAAAGTGTATTTTGTCAATCATCATATCCTACTAGTTTATACATACATCGTATTTATATATGTTTTAGTTCTTTTCAAGGTATTTTTTCCTGTTTTTCAAAGATAAATACTGCTTGACTTACATTATTGATTTATATTTCTTGATATATTTTAATTAGAGGAATGTCTTTTGCATAATATGATTTTGTTATATTGTTGCCTTAGTTCAGTTACTTTAGTGCAGTTATAGGTTAACTCCTATTTAATTATATGAGAAGTTAATGCATTATTATACTAAGGCGATGATTATTATTTTCCCCCTTTTTATCAACCACCTTGTGTTTTCATTATTTTTAATTTTGAACTATTAAAATATTGAAAAGTTGCAAAGATTGTTTCTTTTTCCTCCTTCAAAATCCTATACATGTAATTATGAAGTCTTAGTTTGTTCTTTTTGCATGAAGACTCACCCTTTATGAATTTGATCCAATTATAATGATTATGATTTGTAATTGCATTTTTAACTCCCAAATTTTAAAGAAAGAGGTGTTATTTTATGACCCACTTGGTGGCAGCAGGAGCACCATCCGCCTTGGTTAACTTCACAGGTAAAACATTTGTCCTATCAAAGCAATTTTCAGGTCAAGAGGTCAGAAGTCAAGGTCACTGGGATTTGTAACCAGCCATTGAAAGTACATTGTTCTAACTTTGTATGTAGATGCACACTGATGAATTTTACCTATTTACAGACAAATGGTCAAGGTCACCCGAAGCTGTAATATTTAAACATAAATCCGAGCGCATTGTTCTTGGAACCATAAACTTTGTATGTGGATGCATCTGTTTGAGTTCTGTCTGAGGCACATTTTAGGTCAACCAATTTGAATACCTAATATAAACTGTCATGGTAATGCTATGTTTGCTTGTTTTAGACAATAAAAGTAGGTACAACTTAAAGCTTAAATAACGGTTTTCTTGTGATTGAATCGAGTGTTGAAAATGAGTGTTAAAAATCGATGATATATTACTATTGTGTTTTCAATTACAAGGTCTTATCTTAAGACAATTGTTATCATTGCTAACATTCAGTCGGATAACGTGATACGTTATTAAACTTAGATCATTACATTTTTCCCCTGTGTCCTGTGTAAGCTTGAACTGAGATTTTGACATATTTACCTCTGTTTTTATCCAAATTTTGACGTCTTCCTGATATGTTCTTCAATGCGTTTATCTCTTGTGCTTGGATTCATAATTTGCCATCTTGGCCTATGTGGTTCAACCTGGATTTAAACGTCTTTTCTCCTAAATGTTTAAATTAACATTTTGACTATCTCGTCCGTTTGATTCGACCATGAACTTGTGCAAGAAAGCCTTCTAGCTGGCTTATAAAATTGATGTGCTGTTTTTTGTTGTTTTTTTTTTTTTAAGTTCAGTTATATGATTGTGCCTGACTGCACTTCATATAATTGAAGGAGGGGACCTCAAAGCTGACAAAATGCCAAATACTATTGCTGAGGATGCTACTGATTTTAATCGTGGTGGTAATTACTATGATGGTGTTGGTGCTAACGGCGATGATGTTGGCCGTGGTTAGGATGGTATTTTCAAAGACGATGTGGGGTGGTAGTGGTGGTGAAGATGATAATCATGTTGTTGTTGTTGTTGTTGAAGAAGAAGGTGATGAAGCAATTGTTATAGATGACATTTGTTTTCTTTATAAAAAAATAAGATGTATGATATTCAACATTTTGAAGTATATTGCTCATTTATATACGATTTTATCGTCAACAAACACATCGAAGACAATACAGAAAAATGTAATACCCTTAATGATTTTATCATTGCTTGTGTCATATTTTAGCTTAAGTTAGAATATATGGTTTTAAAAACCTTTTAAATTAAAAAAAAAACAAACAAACAAACGATACAAGTCAACAATACAACTCAAAATAACAGATGAGAAAAACGCTAGTTTCTTGAGCATAACACGACTAGTTTGGGATATTATACCGTTGTTCTTGAGATACATGTAGTTCATATGTTCTTGAAATAAATACCATGACTTAATTCATACGGGCAAACTTTTCTGCTGCAACTATTCATTCCCCTCCTTATGGACATTTAAAGTGATTATTATTGTTGTATTTGTCAATTAACTGGTTCACTTCAAATCTGGTCACATCCATTTGCAAATTGTCTTTAGCTACAGTTATCAAGGGAACTATAGCCTTACAGAATTTAAGTGCCTTTAATTAAAACTTTAGATATTTGCTAATGGAATTTAACTTTAGGTTATTCTCTAATGGGTTAATCGGAACACCTTATTATTGTTCATCCAACCACCTGCCAAAACAAGCGATTGTAAGTGATAAATTTATTTGTGCTGTAACAGGGTTATTCAAAACAGTTCTTCCGAGGGATCTAATTGTAACACAGTGGTATTTACGGTTAATAGATTGTACATGTCTCTTAATAAACTTCTTTGATTGAAAGTTTAATTAGTTTTAATTGCAAACAAAACAAAACAGAACAGAGCATGTACAGCTTATCATCAATCATGAAAACTATAATACCTTCAATGGCATGCAAATGAAACTGGCAAACATAAGCTGTAAATTGCATTGAAGGAAAAACATATATAATCAGTAAACATAAAATGAAATTGGCAAATATATATTACACACTAGACACCATGCATTTGCTTGTCATTACACTTCAAGATTAATGTGACTGTTTCTTACTTTCAGAGCTTTTGAAATAAATATAGAAAGTCTACACAATATTTTGTGATTAATACAATCTAACAGTTCAATAAACTTAAACATAATTGGACGATTTTTGTAGTAGGACGTAATATATAATTTTCTCAAGTCTTTATACTTTTCACATATACATACAAAATAAAATTTGTCCTCAATATCGTCTTTAGTACATATAACACACTTATGTTCACTTCTGATCTGGTTACTATGGCGACAAACAGTGCCTGCTCTTTAGCTCAACAGTGCGAAGAAAGTCTAAATTTAGCCGAGCAGTTTCTGAATTTGTTATTATTAAGTATTGTCAAGTATTCAGACATTTCAAATGTTTGTTTAAAGTGGCATTATGCCCATCCAAGAGTATATAATGAGTTAAGGGGTGAATATCAAAATAAGTTTTCATTTTGCCATAATTCATTTTTATTTAATAATTAAGTTCGCATAAACAATAAATAACGCAGAGATCCCAACGAAATTTCTGTACATATCCATTAAAATTTACCTATTACGCTTAGTTTATAAAAAAGTGGGGCAGTCTTTTTAGATTTTAGGCAGATTTATAATTTTACTCAAAACATCAACTGTTTGTCAAACACCATTTTGACAGTTAATCTTTTGAAATATAAAGTCAATTCAGCTCAACTTGACTATAAAAATATGAGCATAATGTCACTTTAATTTCTTTATATAGAGTCAATGCCGTTGAAATGTTAACTGCCTCTCTCCACTGTCGTCCTTTATAAATGTCTTTAAGCCTAAGCTTAAACTGTGAAATAAAGCACCCTATGCTAACAACAGATGTAGGAAAACACCAGACATCATTAAACCCCGTCTCTTGCATCATATCGTCCCGTTTCACCTTAAAGTGCATAACTTAGTACTCATTTTTACATCCAATGTCCATTTAATTAAGATATTTATTATGAAGTCGCTCTACTTTTTCTGCTTGGCTGAATCCCAACAGTTCAGAACAATATGACATTATAGATGTTACATACGCATCAAAAAGGTTAAAGTGTATATGCAGTGGGTATTTGCATCCCTCGAGTGATGCTTTTGAGATTTAAGAGCTAAATGCAGATCGATGCCTCTGCTCATTACAAAGCCTAGGTTATTAATATTTTCAACAATGTCTATGTTCCGGGCCGTTATATGTCCAAACCTGATTTCTTGGTAGTTGATCGCCCTTTCGGAATACCATGATTTTAGTCTTTTACGTTAACTGTCAGATGCCATCTTAAACAATACGCCTCTCATTGGTTATGATTGGTTTGAATATAATATAATATGCATTTCTATACAATGTTGTATCATGAAATTTGAAAGGTTAAATTCGTAAACGTTTCTGGCATTGAAACAAATTTATGTTATTTACCATCTGACAGATGTTGTTTATATCGACTTGATATCTAAATATTAAAGCACACAATGACAATTGAATGTGAAATATTTCACTTGTTCTGATTTTGTTACATGATATTAATTTTAATTAAAAGTCAAATCTGAATATGTAAATGTACTTATGATTGGTTATAGGGCGTATCAAAAATTGTTATACTAAAATATTATTGGCTACTTCATACTTGATAATACATGTATAACCAGTTAATAAGTACTCATTCAATACATCTCGTACAAGACATCATACCAACAAAACTATCGCGCTACATATCACACAAGTTACTCGACTTAAGTATCATTATCACATATACTAATGTTACCGCTAAGAACATTTAGATGTGTATATGTGTATATGTGAATAGCCCATTGAAGTCATATACTTATTTCCAGAAGGCTTCCCTTGCTTATAGGATCACATGGAGTGTACACATGTAATCTAGTTAATATTTCACTTTTTCGCAAATGAACTTTGCCGGATACGAACACTTATTCTTTTTCCATTGATAGTTTAATTCCGCTGCAAGTACCCCACAATTACCAAGTCGGTGTTGATTTTGACCCCAGTTAGTGTACCCTTCGTCTAATTTTGTCTGTGTGTGCAGCCATTTCCAATTTTCACCGAGCGCGGTCATGCCGGCCCAGTAGTTTCCTGGAAAATAACAGCGTAAATATTTTGGGCATTATTCTTTTTTCTTACGCATTTCAATCTTCAGTGAGTTGTATTCACCTTAAGCGAGCGATACTGATTTGTTGCATTTTGAATAAAAGTCAGCGATACTCAGCTAGAATGCGTGAAATCAGCGTAATTTGAGTAATATATTGAAAAATATTACAAGAAAATATTACTTACACAAAAGAGAACTAGATCTAGTCACTGAGTACGAGTAGCAGTGATCGGCATGGAAAACTACTCACTCTAAAAGTTCTTGTAAGTGTAATAACGCCTCGTAGAAGAGGTCCTGTTTTTATTGTCGTTTTATGCAAGCACATAAGTCCCCTATTTATTTTTGAGGACATTTGTTTAATGGTCAAGGTCACTGTGCCTGTTTAAAATGCTTTCTATGACCAACCATACAGTGGTAAGGTTAGTGACATCTGTCGATTTTGGGATCAGTTGGATTAAGGTCAAGATCATGTTGACATTGAACAAACAAAAACTGTTCAGGTAAATAATGCATTGATCTATATAGTGTTTAAGTTTAGTATAGAGGACCATCATGATCATCAGATGTCCTTTTGATAGCGAGGTTATCTGACATTGACAACAACACGGTCAATGAAATTTATTGGGAAGGTTAGATGACCTATATTGATTTTCAGGTCAGTTAGTTAAAGATCAAGTTCACTTTGACTTTGACCACAAAAAAGCTTGCCGATATACATCCATACACATTGTATATAGAGAAAGCTTTCGTAGATCATCTAATTTAGGTTATTGTTTGGATTTATCCGGACATAAATATTCACAAATATTTCTTGTTCTATTATTATCTTCTTTTTTCATTTTATTTCATTTTTTTTTCGTGAAATGATAGAAAATAAAAATCTATTTCGAAATCTATTTTGTTCTATATGCCACTTACCGCCCGTACACTTGTAAATACCACATAACTGCCACCTTACGTCAGGGTCTGTAGTATAACACCATGGTAACCCTTCACCGTCGGGATCTCGACAATAGTTAGCAGCATCAGCCACAGAAGCGTCCGGAAACCTGTCAGCTTGATTTCGTGAATGTTTGTGAGGTGTTTGTGAATCCCATCGCTGACACGTGTGCCCGTCGTACGTCGTGCTTTCAAAGCCGTTGTATCGATTAGAAGAAATCTTGAAGCAATCTGAAAATATCACGGTAAAATTTTGTTCCCGTTCAAATTTTGCAACTGTTGAAGTTTATTCACTTTTGAAATTTGTTTACCATTCATATTTGGTAAACTATGGTGGCTGATTTGTGCCATTTGTGTTCTCGCCCGCAGCCCCGTCATGCGAAAAGTCGATTATTAACAAGTTAAAATGGCGGCGTGGGGGGGGGCGGAGCGCGATTTCAGCGTGTTTTTGCTCTACGCCCCGCCTTTCTGCCGTTTTATTTCTTAAATCTCGCTCCGCGCCCCCTGCCGCGTTTTATTTCCGCGTTTTCAAATATACTAGAAGAGGTTCTGTTTAATAAGGAAATTAACAGTAGGTCCCCTATTGATTTATAAAGAGATCAGTGATAACTGTTGACTTGTCTTATATATATTCTAGGTTAAAGATCAAGGTCACCTTGATCACAAAAACACTTGCCGAAACGTAACTTGAGAATGCTTTTGAGTGCATTTTTTTGATTGGGACGTTAGGTCACACCAAAATAACATGCTATTTGTCAAATTCTTTGCAATTAAATGTTTCATAAAGTTTCTTTGATTTTTATACAAAAAGAATGGGTTTTATTTATGCAGACCGCCAGGGACGAACTTCTACGGATGAACCTCTGCGTCTAACTTGTCCAGTTCTGTACGTTATCGGCAGCAATGTTTCATGGCGATCGATCTGCTAATCTATTCTGTGTTTCTTGGTTGGATGAAGACAGCAATATTGTCTATGTAGTGTTTTCTAAAAAAATGGCCATTGTTAACGCAACTCTCCGGAGTTACCCACGAAAGGTCAATCCTAATCCCTGTACTTAAGATGATTTGACCTTGACCCGCCGTGTGCCTTCTCCGCGACAAAAACACCTCAGAAGAAATTTGGTTGAAGTATGATAGAAGTGAAAATGATAGAAATGAAAACCTATTTATATGCCACTTACCGCCCGGACACTTGTAAATACCACATAACTGCCATCTAACGTCAGGGTCTGTAGTGTAACACCATGGTAACCCTTCATCGTCGGGATCTCGACAATAGTTAGCAGCATCAGCCACAGAAGCGTCCGGAAACCTGTCAGCTTGATTTCGTGAATGTTTGTGAGGTGTTTGTGAATCCCATCGCTGACACGTGTGCCCGTCGTAGGTCGTGCTTTTAAAGCCGTTGTATCGATTAGAAGATGTCTTGAAGCAATCTGAAAATATTACGGTGAAAAGCACTTGTTAATTTTTATTTGTCTTCCAGGCTGTTAGTTAAAATTTTTATTAAAGAGATATAGCTTGAAACACCATTTGTGAAAAGCTCTCGAGCTCATTTATTGAGTTATTGCCATTTTATAATCCAATAAAGTTTAACTAAACTGAAGTAGATGTAAATTTATAAATGTGTGCTTATTGACTACTTTATCTCTGGTTCATAAGAACGCGCTTGGCGCAATTTCAAGAAGTTCCATCCCCAATCCCAACATCCAGTCCCCACCGCCCATGAAAAAACAAATAATATTACCAATATTATTATGTATGTTGAGTGATACAGCTTGTTCTTTAAGGAATTGATCTTCGTCTGCAGATGTTATCTCAACAAGATAGCCATTCATGTTTTGACATCGGTTCTGGTAATAAACATATTTGGTATTTTCATGACTTTTAAAATAATCTTACAAAACTTACAAAAAAAATCCATTCTTTTACCTATATTTTATGTTTAACTGATCGGGTTCTTTCTTCACATTTATCATGTTTGTAATTAAGCATGAACTTTATTATTTTTTATTATATTATTCTGACGTAATTTTTAAGACTTGGGACAAATCAATTGCGTTTCACCAAACGTCAATTTTATGGAAATCATTTATTATATTTTACCGATCGTCATACCTTTGTACGAAATAAATAAATAATGTTTACACACCTTCATTGACAACGTTGAAATTCATTTATTATGTTTATCTTCATATCTAACCACGAAAAATGTAATGTAATTATAATGTGTTGCCTATCACCATTTCTTACAACGGAAATCTGTTTAAGTGCTTTACCCATCCTCATATTGATCAGGAGGACCCATCTTTATTTCCAAAGCTCATTGATTGATTATAAAATTTTCTCGCAATCATACATGTAACAATGAACGCTTGGTTTACTGCCCATTTCACCTAACAATTTCATTTACTCGTAATGTTTTACTGACAAATGTCCCTGTCAAAGACATTGATGGGCTATGCTTTACTTACCATTGCCTTAAACCATGACATTTTTGATTGCTTATGTTTTACTGACCATTGCCTCTGTCAAAGACAATTATTGACTATGTTTTACAGACCATTGCCTCAAACCATAACATTAAATTGCTATGTTGTACTGACAATTGCCTTGGACCATGTCATTGCTAAGTTATGTCTACTGACCATTTAGTTTTACCATGTCATTATTGGTTATGTTTTACTTATCATTGTCTTTGACCATGTCGTTGATTGGTTATGTTTTATTTACCGTTTCCTCTAACAATGTCATTCATTAGTTATTTTTAGCTCGACTTTTCTATGAAAAGGGGAGCTATCCTACTCGCCCCGGCGTCGGCGTCGGCGTCGGCGTTAGCGTCGGCGTTGGCGTCACACCTTGGTTAAGTTTTTCGTACCACCCCACTTTATTTCAGAAGTATTACAAGTATGGCTTTGAAACTTACCATACTTGTTCACCATCATAACCTCCATCTACAGACAAGAGTACATAACTCTGTCAAGGTTTTTGACAGAATTATGGCCCTTTTTTGACTTAGAAAGTGTATTGAGCTTGGTTAAGTTTTTTGTACCACCTCACTTTATTTCAAAACCATTGGAGGTATTGCTTTGAAACTGACCATACTTGTTTACCATCACGACCTTCATCAACAGACAAGAGGACATAACTCTGTCAAGGTTTTTGACAGAATTATGCCCTTTTTGACTTAGAAAATACATTGAATATGGGTAAAAATCCACTTATTGCCTTAACCCTTTGAGATATTGCTTTGAAACTTTTAATGCTATTTCACATCATTACCCCATCTGTACGCAAGAGAAGGTAACTCTGTCAAGGATTTGTTTTAAAAATTAAGGCCTTTTATCGACTTAGAATCTTGGTTAAGTTTTTAGTACCAGTCCACTTTTTGACTGAACTGTTTGAGATATTAATTTGAAAGTTGGAATACTTGTTTACAATCATGATTCCCAAACATGTCCAGGAGAATTCAGTAAAATAATTCTTCACTAAATATCTTAATGCTCATGGCCATTGTCCACTTTAAAAATACAGAGATTCTTGTATTGCCTTTTACTGCAAAAACTTTTTTTATTGGCAAGCAATAAAAAAGTCGAGCGCGCTGTCTTACGGACAGCTCTTGTTTACATACCATTGCCTCTGACCATGTCGTAGATGGATACGATTTAACTTCCATTGACAGATTATATATTTCGCTAACAACTGCATCTATTCCGTCACCGATAATGATAATTACTGTTATACTGATTATTGCATCTAATTTTGTCACTTATTGGTTTTGTTTTACTTACCAATGCCTCTAATCATGTCCTTTATTGGTTATAATTTGCTTACCAATGAATCCAACCATGTCCTTTATTGGTTATAATTGGCTTACCAATGAATCCAACCACGTCCTTTATTGGTTATAATTGGCTTACCAATGAATCCAACCATGTCCTTTTTTGGTTATAATTGGCTTACCAATGAATCCAACCATGTCCTTTATTGGTTATGATTGGCTTACAAATGTATCCAACCATGTCCTTTATTGGTAATAATTGGCTTACCAATGAATCCAACCATGTCCTTTATTGGTTATGATTAGCTTATCAATGAATCCAACCATGTCCGTTATTGGTAATGATTGGCTTACCAATGTATCCAACCATGTCCGTTATTGGTAATGATTGGCTTACCAATGTATCCAACCATGTCCTTTATTGGTTATGATTAGCTTATCAATGTATCCAACCATGTCCTTTATTGGTAATGATTGGCTTACCAATGTATCCAACCATGTCCTTTATTGGTTATGATTGGCTTACCAATGTATCCAACCATGTCCGTTATTGGTAATGATTGGCTTACCAATGAATCCAACCATGTCCGTTATTGGTTTTGATTGGCTTACCAATGTATCCAACCATGTCCGTTATTGGTAATGATTGGCTTACCAATGTATCCAACCATGTCCGTTATTGGTTATGATTAGCTTATCAATGTATCCAACCATGTCCGTTATTGGTTATGATTGGCTTACCAATGTATCCAACCATGTCTTTCATTGGTTATGATTGGCTTACCAATGAATCCAACCATGTCCTTTATTGGTTATAATTGGCTTACCAATGAATCCAACCATGTCCTTTATTGGTTATAATTGGCTTACCAATGAATCCAACCATGTCCTTTATTGGTAATGATTGGCTTACCAATGTATCCAACCATGTCCTTTATTGGTAATGATTGGCTTACCAATGTATCCAACCATGTCCGTTATTGGTTATGATTGGCTTACCAATGTATCCAACCATGTCCGTTATTGGTTATGATTGGCTTACAAATGTATCCAACCATGTCTTTCATTGGTTATGATTGGCTTACCAATGAATCCAACCATGTCCTTTATTTGGTAATGATTGGCTTATCAATGTATCCAATCATGTCCTTTAATGGTTATGATTGGCTTACCAATGTATCCAACCATGTCCTTTATTGGTTATGATTGGCTTACCAATGTATCCAACCATGTCCTTTTTTGGTTATGACTGGCTTACCAATGTATCAAAACATGTCCTTTTTTTGGGGTTATGACTGGCTTACCAATGTATCAAACCATGTCCTTTATTGGTAATGTTTTACTGACCATTGCCTCTAATCATGTCATCCATTGATTTACTTTCCCTTTTCAGGTATATATTTCGCTAACAATTGGATCTATTTTGTCACCAATGATTATTGTTTTACTAATAATTGCATCATTTATTGGATATGTTATACCTACCATTGCCTCAATCCTGTTCATTAACAGGTTATGTTTACCTACCATTGCATCTAACCATGTTGAAAATTGGTTGCTGAAGAAATAACACGACTGTCCGTATGGAATCCAGTTGGTAGGACAACCTATAATGAAAATAATGAATGTCGGCGACTACAGTATGTAAAGTTATCTTAAACGTATATTTGTATGACAGGTATGCCCTGCGATATCAAACTAATTCATGTTATTTCATAGATTTATATAAGACAAGTTTTTGTAGATAAGTGTGCCTTAACCCATCAACAATTAGCTTTAATTTATCTACATAGCAGAAACAAAACAGCGTTCAGTGCACTAAAGAAAACAAAGGTATCTGAGACTCTTTTTAAGTGTCAGGTAATTTTTATAGCAAACGATATTTCAATATTTAAATTATTTAAAACGAATTCATTCATATTGAGAATAAGTTCATGCTGACCTTTTGAAACTGTCTCATACTAAAGTGCATTATGCAGAAAAGTTCCTTTTTTAACAGCACCTTCTAGTTACATACCTGAAGTTGTTATTCGTGTAGATAAAGTTGTCGCCAAACTTGCCACAGCCTTCACTGATTTCGTAGTCGTAGATTTAGAAGAAGTGAATTGTTGAGAAGTTGTCGTCTGATTAGGTAACGTGACTTGGTTTGGTTTTGTCGTCTGCATAATTGAAAATGTCGTGCAAGGTTTTGAAACGTGATGCGAGGAATTTCGTTTGATAAAACTATCAGTTACAATACAGTTGCAAGTGTTATTCTTTTTTGACAGTAAATAAACGAGAGTTTCACTTCCGATGAGAAAAATAAAAACACTTAGTAATAATACATAAAACGTTGATTTACGCATTGAAATCCGGTTTTTGTGTTTTAAGGCACGCGAAGCATTGTTTTCGTTTTCTTCACGGTATGTTTTTAAAAGATTATAATCCAAAGATGTCTCTTCCATTTTGAGAGACCTTTACACAAATCTCAAACTTAAATGTTATGAATAAGAGGTTACATGTTTAGAGTGTTATCTTGTGCTGACTCATTCATTTTGTTTAAAACGTAACATGTGTACACGCGCTTACTTGTTTTCGCGCATGTCCCAGTGATTGCAAAGATAAAATTTAATATATCATTGTTTACAAAAGCAGCTCCATTAAAAAAAATAAAGCTGTTTTTTTCCTCTTTTCTTCTTTTTTTAAAAAAAAATATTTATAAAAAAAAAAACATTCAGAAAGCGTTCAAAATAACGAAAAATATATATTGCAAGCTATACAAAAAAAATGAAAGCTTGAACAATTATTATCTAAAATATTTAAATAATGATAACCATTCTGCTTGTTTTGACGTCGTTACAGTGTATTAATAGCATTTGAGCCGCGTCACGACAAAACCAACATAGTGCGTTTGCGACCAGCATGGATCCAGACCAGCCTGCGCATCCGCGCAGTCTGATCAGGATCCATGCTGTTCGCTTACAAACCCTATAACAAGTAGACAAACTGATAGCGAACAGCATGGATCCTGATCAGACTGCGCGGATGCATGCTGGACGCAAACGCACTATGTTGGTTTTGTAGGGACGCGGCTCATTTTTTGTCAATTATGATATGTTAAGATATAGTTTAACAGTTATAAATCTAAATACATTATATACATATTTAATTAAAATATGTGCCGATACAACGAAGTATGACGACCCCTACATAATAACGATTTCCGGTCAGAATTTATGACCGACTGGAAATCATAATATTATATCTAACCACCTAACGCGAAGTAATATGACCCCTCAAGAATTGTGACTCCCATTTGATGTAATGACCACCTGTCAATATTCTACCAATAAAAGGTACCCATGATCGTAATTTCATAAGTCTATAAGCCGGTATTTTGAACCAAACATCCCACCCATGACAGTTTTTTTAATGCTTATACATATTAGGAACCAAACTCTATTTCAACATTATTCAGTTATGTCACTATAAAAGTTGTTGCTTAATATGAGCATTTTCAACAAGAATTTGTAACAGAGTTACCGCCTCGGGGAAGTTTTATATGAAGCATCAAATTTCAAATTCAAGCATGATATTTCAAAAGATTGATGTGTGGATCTCACGACTTTCAGTCCAAAATTATGATCAATGCTAGATCTGCAAATGCAGCAATAAATTTATTAAAGAAATAAAATGAAACACGGAATATAAAAATCTATCATGTTAAGCTTTGACCTCTTAGTGTGCAAAACAACGCGGGCCTCACGCGGACATTTTTCTAGTTGGAGCCAACCGTTATGACACCATTTGCCTGATTCCGTTACGGCTTTGCTATTGCAGTAGTTTGGAGGTTTTTTACAGCAATATTAGGCTCAAAGATCTTACCGTAAGACAAAGGAAACGAGAGGCCCGCGTGTTATTGGCTGTTTTTTATTTTATTTTCGATTTTTCTTTCTGTATAATCAGTCTATTTTTTTCTGGAGCAAACAATATGTCTAATTCCGTTGCAGATTAGCTATGGCATATGTTGAACGTTCTTCTTACAGCAATATCAGATAAAAAAAAAGCTCTTAACCTCTGATTCCGTTGCAGATAGCTATTGTATTAGTTTAAAGGTTTTTCTGAACAGCAATATAAGGCCCAAAATGTTAACCCTAGGAAAATGGGTGAGAGGGGGCCTGCGTCGCATTAGTAAGAGGTGGATATGATAATACTTAGGTGTGTTTATCAATATTTTTGTAACATATTGCACTAGAAATAACTGTGAATATTAAAATTGTTTTAAATCTTCTATGTTTAAAATATATCTATGTATTCATATTCATACCATTACACAGCCAGTTCCACTGTACTATGATGGCTACATATTCTGACTTTCCATTAAAGGTAAAGGGACACTGGGACAATAGATAAGGTATTTTAAGTCCCAGGGTGACATTAGTGTCATTTTGACATTTCTTGTTCTAATTGCTTTTCTAATATATCTATTTCTAACAAATTCTGTTAATGAAATTATTAGTTTCCAGTTGAATGTTAAAAACATTTTGACTTGTTTTCTGTAGAATGCACGTCATTGCTTATAGATTTTGGTCTATGGAGCAACAATTAGCAACTAATATTAGCCCCACATAATTTTAGCTAACATAATGTACTAGTCTTTCCAAAAATGTTTTATAAAACCATCGCAGGTTTTTTTTTTATATCATTTTCATGACTTTTAAAGTGAAAGAAACTTCATCATATGACAGACAGGGGATTTTCCACCTTTAGTGCTTTATTTTGAGACAACCAAATAACATCACAGTTTCTTGATTATTTAGCAATATTATACTCTTCAGTCAAATAAACATTTTATACACATTTTCATAACACCAACATAACAACAAGTTTGAGAAATACGTCATTTTCTTATCTTATAGAGAGTACCATCATCCAATTCTAGAAGAGCTCTATTTAATTCAACAATGTGTTTTCTCTAAATAAATAAAAAAAAAATAATAATAAAAAATAATACTAATGATGATGATGATGATGATGATGATGATGATGATGATGATGATGATAAAAAATGGCAGCATTATGCCCATTCACACCATTGTGACCTTATCATAGCAACTTTAAGTTTACTAGTTCTTGTAAAACCTTTTGTGTTTTGTTCTATAGGAATAATTTCTTCAAGTAACCATAGTATTTTTCATTGACCTAAACGTATGTCCATTATACGTCTTTCCAAAATATTTCGTCATCAATGAAAAAAGCTGTAACAAATTACTTAACTAAGAATAAAGTCCATTCTATTTTTCTGTATTAGGTAAGTTTGTCTTCAAGTATATTTATTTCTATGTTTCCATCTTATTCTTTAAAAGGATCAATGAATACGGTCTTTATTTTCAATAATTATACAAACTTTCTGCCTTTTGTTACATTTCTTGTTTCATGATTTATAATTATATGGTTGCCTAAGTCAAGATTCTGAATCAGATTATACTTTCCACGAATAACCAGTGAACTTGTTAACTTTATCAAAGTAGTCTAATATATCAAAAATTTATTTTTTACAGAAGAATCTATACTTGAAGATTATAATATTTATATTAACAAGTGTTAGGTATATTGAGTCAAGTATTATTTGTGAAAATTTAAAAAACTTTCATATTTATCATTTCAACAGAATTTGTTTTAATATAAATTTTTTTTTTCTGAAAATGCAAACATCGTGTTCACATACAGAGAACTCTCGCATCTTATCAGTAGTACCTTGTCACTTCCTTCTGCAACTTTCCTCGTGACTAGTCCAGCACTTAACAATCAGAAGCTTTCTTATATTTCAAAGTGCTGAAATCCTTTAGCTGGTTCCCTTTGCCTTCTATGCGGCGTGCAGGATTTCAGGGAAAAGAGAGTAGTATTTGCCAGAGTCTAGTTTGGTGATCTTGTCTTATACAAGTATATTTAGGAGGTTGAGGGAGGTTGAGGGTACATTTAGGAGGTTGAGGGTATATTTAGGAGGTTGAGGGAGGTTGAGGGTATATTTAGGAGGTTGAGGGTATATTTAGGAGGTTGAGGGAGGTTGAGGGTATATTTAGGAGGTTGGGGGTATATTTAGGAGGTTGAGGGAGGTTGAGGGTATATTTAGGAGGTTAAGGGTATATTAAGGAGGTTGAGGGAGGTTGAGGGTACATTTAGGAGGTTGAGGGAGGTTGAGGGTACATTTAGGAGGTTGAGGGAGGTTGAGGGTATATTTAGGAGGTTGAGGGAGGTTGAGGGTACATTTAGGAGGTTGAGGGAGGTTGAGGGTATATTAAGGAGGTTGAGGGGGGTTGAGGGTACATTTAGGAGGTTGAGGGTACATTTAGGAGGTTGAGGGAGGAGGTTGAGGGTACATTTAGGAGGTTGAGGGAGGTTGAGGGTACATTTAGGAGGTTGAGGGAGGTTGAGGGTACATTTAGGAGGTTGAGGGAGGTTGAGGGAGTTGAGGGTACATTTAGGAGGTTGAGGGAGGTTGAGGGTACATTTAGGAGGTTGAGGGAGGTTGAGGGTACATTTAGGAGGTTGAGGGAGGTTGAGGGTATATTAAGGAGGTTGAGGGATGTTGAGGGTAATCAAGACATTGCGGGATTGGGGGTATAGCAGATTAGTCAGGTAACTTTGATGAATCATGTGACGTCCGAAATGACGTCAATAACACAACATATCTCTCCTCTTCCTTACGTAATTCATGTTGTTGTTTTTTCTGTTTCTAAGGCTAAGAGTATGTTTATGTGGAAGTTTATGTGGATTCATTTTTTCTCCCATTATCATATGATATTGGACAGTTAATTGTTCAGATGCCTTGAAATTATTTACTAACAACAATGACTTTCGTTAATTATATAACTGCGCATCTAAACTTTAATATTACATCCATGCAAGAACGACAAAAGTTATGGATCGTACAAAAGTACTAAAAGTAGAAAGACGGGCGTGATTAAAAAACTAGTACTTTCTTACGGAGGCGGGGGCATAAGGCATAATCTAAAACAGTCTTTGGGATTTAGATGTATTTCAAAAAAAAAAATTTAAAAAAAATATGTAAACTGCAAGTTGTCTGTAAATGTCAGTATTATCGTCATTCCCTGTTAATACACTGTAGTCGGTGTGATAAAAATAATAAGGAAATGAAACCCCTACCGTTGAAGTTATTATCACAGAACGACGGGTTTTTACAGAATACTTGATTATTTTTAGTACTTTTTAAGCCTGCCTGGAAAGCCACTAGAGAGATTTTTTCTTATTCATGCGGACATGGGCACGGTCGCGATTTTATGCCTTCATTAGCTGTCAATAACTCCCGTGGATTTTTGCAGGTTTTATCGGGATACTATGCAACTAATCAAACAAATAGGTATATGTAACAGGTATTTTCTTATTTTTCAGAATCACGCGTATCAATCACATGTGTACTTCTAAATTAAACCATATTGTTTTGATATTTGGACAAATCATTTTACATAAGAAGGTGCTGCCTTTACTGTATTTACCGTGGCACAAAGGTGGCATTTGTGCGTTTTTATTTGTCTCGTGCGCACGAGATAC